GGATCCTGGTTGTTCTTGTAGGGGCGTACTTTTTGTTTTTTTTATTGTTCTTGTTCCTTTCATTTTTATTATCGGGTGTCTTGAACAGTTCACACTCCTTCAATGGAAGAAGAAGTCGATGCAGCGCGCTTATCTACTGCCTATAAGCAACCATAATCTTTGACTTAGATAATTTGAAGCTCGAAGTAACATCTTTTCAGGAAGGGGATCGAGCAGCTTCTAGAAACTATACGAGAAAGCAAAGTGAAATCTCTACTATTACTTGGAAACCACTTTCTATAAGATTTATCTTCTCTTCTTTAATAAGGCTGATTTCTGCATCTATCCTAGCAGCAACAGAAAGGAAGTGAAGAAAGAAAAACTGACTGGACCATCGGGAAAGGGTGATCGATCATAAGGAAGGCCTACGTCTTCATCTCTTGCTTCCAAGTGAGAGTCAGGAGGAAGAAAAAGACCAAGCAAGGGTTAAGATTCGTTCTCATGGAGAATTAGGGAGAAGAAAGAAGACCGTAGGACTCTGAAGTCATGGATATGAGGCTCGGTCTACAGGCCTTACGTCAAAGCCCGAGAACAGATGGGAAGTGCACCAACGCTTGGATATGAATTAGAACCCCCTCCGAAATTCGGTTAATACTAAAATATATTCCCAATCCCATTAAAAAATCTACGCTACGGGTCAGGGACGCTAACCATATGAGGAGCCCTACTACTAGGACTTGTTCAAGCAACAAGTTGGTATGGCCCATTTCATACCTAATCCCATGGACATATCTGATCATTGAATGAGGGCCCTCCAAAGGGATAGATACCCGAGTTAGGTATCAGTCCCACCTACCGATAATTAGTACAATGACCTGTCATATCATATACCCCAGACGGACTGATCATATGTTTCGATACCAATGCAGTCAGTCTAATGCATTCTGGACTGGATATGGCCCACCTATCTTTCGAGGTCACTAGTTTACACTTTCATCAACCTTTCCCATATCCATTTTTTATGAGCAAGGGATAAAGGCCAGACAGTAATCAAGCTACTTACAATTGGATAGTACCCCTTCCGTCGGAGGATATACTGGGTGGAGAGTGACAAATATGAGAAAATCCTACTTACTAGCCTCTGTGTAGGATACCACTTAGTTAGATGCTAGGGATTGGTGAGTTAGGGCAGCGAGGAATGGTGTGACATGTCTGGTCATCGCATCGATGAGAATGATGGCCGATGATATCCGAGGAGATTAGGCACCGTCGGCATTTTTACCTCAAAGTAAACTCGTGCTTTTCGTCGTCCTTCCCTATCTAGAGCTGGAACTTGACTAGAAAAATACTTTTTTTCCCATACTGACTGACTTGTCTTCCTGTTGGTGGTTGTGAAAGTTCAGATTTCGAGCTTAAACAGCGGATAACCTTATCTTTATGGGGAAGTCTTTCAGGATCGATTCAAAGGGCCAGTGAAAGTACGCGGACGGAAAAATCCAACAAAACCACACCGTAACGGGTCAGTAGACCTTCTTTATCTTAAAGGTTGTCTCCTGCCCCCAACTAGCGAGCGGCTATAACCGATGGGTGCATGGCGACCACTACTCTAACCGAAAACTCGGGTTAAGTGGGGAACCTTCTCATTGTGTTAAGCTTGCGAGCCTGTCTGTAATAGGCCCAAGCGTCTCTTGTGCTTAATATCGAGTCTATTCCAGTGAGAAGATTCGCAATACCCTAACACTCCATAGGCGAAAGAAATGAATATGGATAGATATATAGATTACGCACATATTTGTCTGGGCATTGATTTCATGTAGTGCGTACCACTGGCGGAAAGTGATTCGCTTAACACACTTGTTCGCTTGAATACAATAGGTAGGGAAGGACAGGATATTACTCGTCGGTTCTATTCGGTGGTGGTGGCTCTGCTTTGAATTTCTTTCCACTCATTTTGGCTTTTTCCTTTTATTATTCATGCTTGCTCCACTAGCCTCAAACTCCATTCCCATTTCGAATCGACCCGTTAGATTAGAGAATGCTTTTCTGCTTAGCAGAACCTGATTCTTCGCTTAAAACATCTGATCTTCCGACTTAAACAACCGATTCCATTTATATCCTTTTTTTCTATGATCAATTCAATAAAGACTTCCTTCTCAACTGACAACCCCTGGGCCTGTTCATAAGCGATATTCTTTGTAGGGCTTTCGGCTCGGCTGCCTTCCTTTATTTTTGGGCTAAGGCTAGCTTTTCTAAGTCAGTTCCAGAGTGCATGAGTTAATCTTGATCTGTATTTAAGGTATTCCCTTTCCAGTTCTGTTATAATATTGACTTCGGTTAAGATGAGGTTAGCGAAGTCAATCCTTTGCTTGGGTCCTTGGAGGTCGGAGATCAGAGGGTTGTGTTTAAGTTGTCTGGCCGTAAGAAAGACTTTATCTGTGGCAGTAAGAGTAAGAGCTTGAGAAGATGGGAAAGAGGAAGAAGTATTCAAATAATGAACTCCTTTCCCTTTAGGAAAGCTTTACTTTATTCTTTCTTTATATACTGAACTTACTATATAAGACAATACTCTAAAAGACTTGGACGATAAAAGTAAGATTGAGAACTATTAATAGTAGGAATAGTCTAAAGCAGTGGTTAACTAGAAGAAGAGTCAAAGACTTTTTCCTAGCCGCTAATGTAGACAATGTGGGACCTCGTGCTCAACCGGTTGCTCTTTTAGATTAAAAAAAAATTCCGGAACATTGCCTCGGTAGAAGAAAACCCAACTAATACGCAAGCCCATCTCCCGATACAATCAAATCAAAGCAAAAGTGCCTTGCGGCTGTCGCGCCTCTCTCTATGTCTCTGTACCTTGTGTTTGTCCTTGTTGTTGAAGATTACTAGGGTTATTTATATTCCTTCCTCCGATCACATACTGCACATACTTTGTTTGATCAAATTCCCCATTTTTCGGGGTGTTCGGTTTTCTAGGTGTTTTGCCTTTATTTACTTGTTTTTGTACGCCCAGCTTCATGTTGACTAGAGACATCCGAAGCTTTTCCTGGTGCGTCGTGCGTCCTTCGAGTCCTCTCTCTCCCTCTGTGGTTACCTTATTTATTTTTATTTATTAATATAACTCCTCTCACTCGCCCCTTCAGTACAAGGTGAATCAGACTCAGCCATCTCGAGATCAACGGAATTATAAAAGCTCATAGAAGAAGGCAATTAAGATTGTTAGCCAGAGCCATCGCAATATGGATGGCAGATATCGCTCCTTTATGCTTTAGCCGATAGGGAGCGAGTAGGTAAAGCATGAAGGAGATGTTACATAATAAGGTATTACATAATCCGCTGTAAAAATGGATTCTCCGCATGCCATGTCTGTGCTTTACTGCCTGACTTTACTCTAAAAAGCTCATTCTTTTCAAGTGGCAAGCAAGTTATAGCTATGGTTCTATGGTTAATGACTTCATGCTTGAATGAATGGTATTCAGGTTTGGCATGAAGTACACATGGTTAATTCCTGAATTCAGTAAGCATGGTATAAGAAGAGTATCCACCACTTATTTTTATGAAAATCACTCTATGAATGTAGAAGAATCAGTGGTTGTTGTCTAATAGATAGAGCAAGAAAGCTAGGAGCAGCAAGGGTAGTGATTAGCGAATCTATAGTTTCTGGTTCCTCTCTTTATCTAAAGGTTTTTAAAATGCAATCCTACAAGTACTGTTTCAGCAAGTAAGATTTTGATCCCCAACGACAAGCGAACTGGCATTTTCGGGGACTAGCCCACTTCCCATTACTCAAGCAAGAGGGAAATTCCGAGCACATAATTAAGGGAGCCATGGAAAGGTGACTGAAAAACCAGAAAAAGCGACTACCCGAGCTAATGATAGAGGCAAGAAGACTTTCCGGCCAAGTCCCATTAATTGATCATAACAATATCGTGGAAATGCTGCGCGGACCCATATATATAGAAACAGAAACATAATCACCTTGATACTAAACCAGATCGAGCCCGGGATCCTCTTTAAAATGGGAAGATCTAGGATAGGCGGCCAACCTCCTGGAGAGAGCAATGTGCATGGACAAGGTGAGTAGGGATGCAGCTCCGTGGACCGCTCGTCGGGCCTAATAGGTGGTGGTCTCACACCCTTCTCAAAGGAACCGTACGTGAGACTCTCGCGTCATACGGCTCTGTCCCGGAAGAAGGACCCCCCCTGTCCTTTGACCAATGGGTCCTCGAACCAACCTTCCCGTTTTCTTGCTCGTTAGCGCTTTAGTTTTCAATAAGTTTAGGCTTGACTAATAGAATATATAGGGCTTTTCTCGCTTGTTTAGTATTGCTTTGGCTTCGCCGTCTGTATCTTGCTGGCGCGGAAGCTGCCGCAACTAAAAAAAAGGAATGAAGGAAGAAGGCATTAGCATTAAAAAGACTACAAAGGCATTCTGGGCCGACTACAATACAAGTCATGAGCGATAGCGAAGCCGGATAGGCTTTTTTATTTATGTTGAAAGCCCCAAAACTAGTTATCTTATAGAAGACAACTCATGCAAGCCTACTCAATGAATCTCATAAGTAAACGCCTGTTCGCATCGCAACTAATAAAAAAAAACGACTAGACTAGTAGTGGAGTGCTCCTTGTTGTTCGGATCTTGACCAGGTCCGAGCTTCCCAAGCTCTATGCTGTTAGGGAACTCTGCAAGGGTCTTACCACCTTCTTGATTTACTATCTTTGAGTCTTTGGAGTACTTGGGGATTATATTCCGCGCCGAGGATTTGTGCTTGTGGGCTAGGGTGAATATTGCAGACCAGCGGATCTGGTGGTCAACAATCGTTCGGACTTGGTAAAGGTTGTCGCAGCACCTGTAGTAGGACAAAGGACTTATCGCGATGCCCGCAGACCAATTTACAATGTCTCCGTCGCTGACGTTCATTAAGCAGGCCACGTGGATTGGCCAAGGTCTTCTTCGGCTAATGATACCTCAATCCCGAAGCCTTCGGAGTATCTTTTTTATAGGCGCCTCTATCTGTATGGGGAATTCACTGCTGATAGATCCCGCCTTGTGTCCTCCTCCTTCCCCCGCCACCTTCCGACCCGCCGGAGTATACAATGACAACTTCCGGACACTCATGCCCGATCGTGCGACTGCCTCTTGAACGTCTGATGGCGCGTTGCTCCTACCTGAGCTATGCAACAACGAGATCCCCCTCGATCCTTGCCAGATGTGCTGGACGGTCCCCTATAATACGCTTACTTGGAAACTTCTGACTCCAGCTGTTCCAAGAGTCTCCGCTAGTGGAACCCCGTCCAGTAGACTCCCTCTTTCGCTCATCCCCTTCGTCAATTGTTTTATCGGGATACTATTCCCTAGGTTCCTAAACTTGGAATGGATGGTGGAGCGTAGGTGGAAAACAGTTATATGGATACAGTGCTTTAGCCGTAGACGCTTCTCCAGCTCTCGCAATAATTGTATGGGAGTCGTCCTCGGAGGGACTTCCCGAATGACCATACCGGGGAATTCAACCGTACTCCGTGCAGCTATTGTTGTTGATCCTGCAGAGCCTACCCAAAGGTTCAGGCCGGATTGTAGGAAGTGGGCGATACGTTTTTGTATTTCTATGAGAAGCTCTACGGCAACCACGATTCCCAGTAGTAAGTCATCGGCATATCGCACATAACAAATCCTTATGAAATAATGGGTTTTGATTTTGAAGGGGGCCAGTTTACGGGCCAGGCCTCTCTCTGACCTGATAACTAGTCTCACCTCCCCGCCCAGCTCTATCAGTAGGCCCTTTCTTTTGCAATACTTAATAAGGTCTCTCATGGCCAAATTATTATTAAAGCAGCATTCTCTACCATAGAATTCGGTCTTCGGGGTCAACCCGACCCCGGCGGCTTCTATGAAGAAGGCGGCGCAAAGGAGGCTCAAGGGCTTGTTAAGGAAGGCGGTTAGGGCCGACGAAGGGGGGAAAATGAAAGGCGTTTTCTGGTCCCCCCTTCGTTGGGGGGTGCTTGTGGGGGGGTGCCACGACGAAACAAGGGAATGAAAGGCCACTTTGCATTGAATGCTCTTGACCCTGCCCACAATGATGGCTCTGTTGTCTTGGGGAGCATTTAAGCGTGCTTCTTCTCCAGAGTTTTCTTGGTCATCAATACGACCTTTCCTTAATATAACCGATCTTATTCTCGTAATTTCGTACTTTTGTCGGATCCTTCCTATCTCCTGATTGAGCTTGTGTAGGTAGATGTTGCCTGGTAGGGCCGATAGTAGTACACTGTGTGGGACGGAGTAAGGGCCCTTCTCACCTCCTACGAATCGTCCAGCGGAAAAGACTTTATGAATGGAGTAAAAGAACTTGGGACCGTCGATCTCTTCCTTAAAGATTGGGATGAGTCGAATTCGGTCGATGGTGTGAAAACACTTCCTGATGTCGAATTCAAAAAACCAGCGAGAGGTTCCCCACTCTTCTTTGATCCGTCTTAGGGCCGAGTAGCGGCCTCGACCCGAGCGGAAGTACGATGTCTTTGGAAACTCGGGATCATAAATGGATTCGAGTACCATTCTGATCGCCTCTTTAATGATCTTTTCTATAGGTAGAACTACTGTAAGCGGTCTAAACTTCGACCCTTATTTATTTCTTCATATTGTAAAGGGGAGCAAAGCCCGTTTTTTGCTCCCTCTATTGATAGATCAAGGCCCCCCTGCTGTCGTTTCAGTAACTCATAAGGATTCCCTCAGTTCAGTTCTTGAGAATGGTCGCCACCTCTCCCAGGACCAGAATGATTATCCTCGCCCGATGGGTCTACATCCATCCCTAAATGTCGTCGAGTACTGTTAACTTCCCCGCCATTCTTGTAACCGTCACCAGTAATCCGCGCAGGTGTGTCCGCACCCCACTGAGTGGACGAGAAAGAAAGGATTTATCAGAGACTTCGTTCCAGACCCGGGAGTCGACTTTCCCGTATGAGAATTCGGTACATGTATCAGTCCGTGGAAGAGTTAAAGGGTCACCACTACTGAGGATCTCCCCCTTAATCTTAGATAGGTCGTCTGAGGGTTCTCCGCGGTTCATTGTTGTTCTTACACACTAGGCTACCCTTCTCCGAAAGCTCAGCGAGACCACCTACCACTAGTCTTCGGTCAGAGGGGTTTATTGCACAAAAACGCCAGGACGCAGGCTCCCGAAGAGGGAAGCCCAACGAATGTCAGATGCAAAGCCCCGCACCTCATTAAGATCATATTGGCATACTCTCCCAAAAAAAAAGAGAAAACCCCATTGAAGACGAGAGTGAGGTACAACAAGGCCATTTCTGCCCACTGCCCTTCTCACAGAGCCGTACATGGACGTTACCGCTCATACAGCTACCAGCCGGCAAGCAGTCAGCCTCCCTCAAAAATGGAAGTATGGATGAATCGACATCAAATAGAGGTATTAGGTTTTTTTTAAGCAATAACAGGAGCCGAGCTTTTTTCACAAAAACATAAGGGTCCCCCCTCCCCCATATCCACGTTGTGCGCCCTTGACATTTATGAGGACTCACTGGCTCCTTCTCCTGTGTACATAACCGCTTATGAGAATTCGATAAGGCCGGCAAGAGGCAGGCTGATTGCCGATGTCCAAATAGGCCTGAAAAACGCCAACACTTTTGGTCCACCTTCTATGTCATAGATATCCTCACTTCATTCAACTTACTACTTGGAAATCATTGGTTGCATGAGGCCAGATCCTCCACATACCATCAATGTTTAAAGTTTCCGTTCTGAGGTTCTATTGTTAAGGTCTCTGCCGAAGTTCTACCGGCATTGACCGCAGATTGTGAGAACGTGAGCTTCATGCCTTCTATAGAATTTTTAGGTCAGTTCATGCCACTAGAGAGTATGGAGATGGCTCCTTCCAACCGGTCCTAGACATAAATACTCCTGGGTCTCGCCCTTTTGGTCATACCGTTATCATCCGAAGAAAAGAATACCCGAAGGCTCTTTCCTTGTGTATAAAGCTTATAAGGATAGAACTTTGGGAGGAAAAGAGAAAGCGAGAGAAACCCCACCCCTCACTTTCCAGAGGATTCGCGGCATGTCAAGCCGGTTCTTCGCTTTGGCTAACATTATTCTGCCAAGCGAGTTTCGGCAAGTACATTGACCCCACACAAATCACGTTCACGAAACAAAAACTAATTGCTATATTTATATAAGCAATTCATTTCGCCTCACTCGACTCTATATCTAGCCAAAGGTAAAGACTTGCATTCTGTTACTCTGAGAAAGATCCGGTTATCTTCTGGTTAGGATTCTTCTTTATCTTTTATCTTCCTTACTTTATTTTAGTTGAATAATGATAAGGAAGGAGGGAGTCCCTTTTTTGGGATAGGCAGGATATCTTGGTTGGGGAAAACTGGTTAAAAAGACGAATCCTCCTCCATCTGTGGTTATTGCTTTGGGATCCTATAAGCTACTAACTATTCTAGTTAGCCTGGGCTAAGAATACCGTGTCAAGCCTTGGATTCTACTTTGGGCAATGCCACTTCGAAAGAAAGGGAATCGGAGAGATCTTTGAACAGTAGAAAAGACGGATCTGAGAACATAGCCATAGTTACGGTTTCAGGGCTTAGAGAGACTGGACGCGTACCGAACGAAGATTGAGTCTATTTATGCTAAAACAATCCATATAGGTGGAAAGATGGAAGCTTCAATAGTTCCCCGCTGAACCTTAGTGTGCTATGATGGGGTATTTCAGTTCGTCCCTAAAAAATGAAATCCGACTTAGGTGCCGCCACGGATAGGGCATCAAGGTTGAAATCCTACGAAGAGAGCCCAATTAACCACTCTTATCATTGGATTGGCTTTCCGCATCCTCACGGGGCCACTCGGACTTTTAACCTGAAAATTGATAATATAGTATGGAATTAGAGCTCGAGTGGGGCCATCAACCACAGCACAGGTTGGATAATACTAATGAGACAGACCTCCGAATCCGCTTTAAGATGCTTATGAAGCCTGAGTTCCAGGAAAGAGAAAGACCTGGATAAATGGAAAAAAATTATGCTGGCACAGTTCGTAGCATGTCCTAGGTTCTCCATGAATCCAATGATCCATTCTCCATTCTAATTTCTAATGAGTCCCCCATTGCAGGTCCTGGATTATTCTTGGCGCAACCATCAACATTGACTTTAACAAAAGGATGGGAGGGAGCTTCCCATTTGATAAACTCTACCTCTCGATGATTAAGATCAAGAGCTTTCACTAAACACTTATGGATTTCCTTGGCTTTAGCAATGATGAGATCACTAGGATTATGATGAAAATGAAAAGAATCATTATGTTGCACCTTCTTGCGCCATGCCCAGAGTTGGTGAATTGCTACTTCAAAAATTAAATGAGAGGCCATTCAAGCTCCGACACTGTATGCATACCAGCACCATGGATATTTTAATAAATCTATTGAGGAAGAAGAAGAGGCTAATTTCTTTGGCGACGTTGGGTGCCTACCGTCGAGAAAGCGTCAGAAAGCTGGGTGGTCAGCCAAACTCCCTAACTAGTTAGATAAACCTTTCTCTACAATGTAAGTCATCTGTTAAGGATGGTAAATAATATTAATAAAATATGTACTAGAGGCTAGGCAGATAGCTACCATCATCATCATATATGTCATTCCATAATAAGTGGCTGCCTTCCAAGCCAAAGGAATGTACTTTAGGAAGCGGGGGGAGGAACACAAAGGAAGGAAAGAGGCCCCGGAGCTTACCAGCCAAAGCTCAGTAGGCGAAAGTTGTGGGGAGTACTGTGAGTGTCGGAATTCGACCGTGTAGGGAACTGCCCTAGCCAATTGCAAATGTCTTTCTTCTAATTCTATGTCTTAAGCATAGTTCATGAAAGAAGAGTATGGCATCTCTGCTTTATGCTTGATAGTTCCAGTAGGTAAGCCAGTCAGCAAGCCTATTCATTCCATGCAAGCAAGCGGGCCAAAGAGTAGTAGGCTTAAAAAGAATCGCCTTCCCTGCTTGCTATCTGTCCTTTCTTTTCCTTCTTAGCGCGTAGTGGGAAGAGATGGTTCTATTGTATACTTTATCATGCGTGCTTTTATTTTTAGGATTTTAACTTTAATTCCCTCTAACTATCAATTTCATAATCAAAGACAGATGGTAGCGTAGGAGATAGGGCCTGATTGAGTACTTTGCAATCACCAAACTGCTTTCGCGAACCTTCAAGCTTGAAGGTGTAAAGGAAAGCATACAATCTTCATAGCCTTTTTGTACCGCTCTTACATAATCCGAAATAGCCATTGCAAGGATGAATCTGCGTTTATCCCATCCCACTGTGAGGGAAGGTTGGATTCATAGATGCACTGATAACACTGATGCCAACTATTCTTTTATATAAAAAAACTCCCCCAGAGAATGCAAGCTCCTATCGAATAGGCAAGAAGGAAGGGAAGGCACTTGCGAGAGCTTAGATCCGTATGAGGAAAAAGAAGTTGTGATAGAAAGAGTTGTGAAATAAAAAGCTGCAAGAGTAAGCGCTCCTCTTGGAATTGAAGCAGTTCCCGAATCAGCTCTTAGGATAACTAGGCTTCTTTGCGCAATTGAATCAATAGTTAACCCACGCACAAAATTATCAGCTTGAGAAGAAGCTCTAAGCCTTGACGCTCTGAGAATTATCCTTTCCGGTGTGATTGAATCACTAACCGCTGCGAGAGTCAGCTCCTTAAATCCTTTGAAACTTAGGAAAGTAAAGTGATAGCCGAGACCCAAAGATCTCCTATTTTGATGCTTAAAGAGAGGCAGGGGGGCTAGCGAGCAGTCTAGCTAGATCCGAGCTACTCATACGCTGTCTGAGTTCCTGCTCTTGGTGCAATAAAAGTTGTTCGGGCTCTTTCACTCCTAAATTAAGGCAGTGAGCTTGCTTTGCCAAATAATATGTATTAAGCGGTTACTCCGATTAAACCACGGGGAAAGGAAGGTGCGAAGCCTGATTGACCTAATAAAGATTTCCATATTGCCCTTTCTCAAGATGAGACAGTTGGGATGGAACTTGAACGGGGTTCATTTGCCAAAGTTGGAGAATCCAACCAGCTGCTGTGGGAATAGTGCCTCACGTTCCACTAAACGCTGGGGAAGGAAGTGACATAGTTTTTTTACGAGTAGTAGGGGTATGCTTTATCTATCTTATTGGCTTAAGCATCCTATTATTCTTGATTTTTATCCAATTATAACCAGATTTTCAACATTAGCACAACAGCAGATAGGATGGAGACGAGTCTCAACAAGCAGGGCAGGAGAGATTACCTGCTCTGATAACAACTTAAACTTTTCCTATTCGTGTAGCCAGGAGGAATGCAAAGATGCCCCGTTCACTTGAATAGGAACTGGAAAGACTTAAGATACAAATTAGAATAAGCAGTACTTTATATCCTTCAGACCCTTGCTTTGGGTGGGGGATATCACTGCTCGAGAAGATCATCTGCAATGACATTTGAATAATCCAAGGGCAACTACTGGCTCTAAGCCTATCTGCTGTTGAATAACCAACTCGTGCCAGTCTTTTCTGTTACAGTAAGAGCTGTTGAGTAAATACAAGCTCTGGTCCTATCCGCTGCTGGTGGTGAAGCCAGTGAATCAGTCCCCAAGCTTTCTTCCTTAAAAGAATAAATTTTGTCATTACGAACTAAGACCGAAGGCAGGTGCAGTTAATAGAGCAATGTGCAGGTTGGGATTTTTCAAGGATTGCAAGCTCCAAGCATAGCTATAATATGAGAATAGGGCCTTTGTTGCCACGCCAGCATATGCTAGGCAGGATTAGATTGAGCAATATAAAGGTTACTTTCTTGGCACCGGGGATTGCCATTTACATTTTACTCCTTTTGGTAAGGCAAGGCAACCCTTTATTATATTAGGACCGCTTCTCCGATGAGATGATAGATGCCTTTGGCCGATTCCCTTTTCATCTCGCCCTCCCCGCTCAAACTCAAAGTCTGTCTTAAAATAGAGGGAGAGGGAGCTCCAGAGCTCTTGCCTTTGGGAAACCTGAACTCCACTCTTGGAAACTGCCCTCTGCTGTAGCAAAAGTACCTTAAAGATAAGAAAGAGGGTCGGGCCAAGATCTCCATTCCGAATGTTGAAAAATGGGACTATACTTAGTCATTGCCGTAAAAAATCCGGATGGAAGATTTTTATACCTAAGAAGCGAAAGTTATAAAAAATGTGAAAGTTGAATCTCAGGTTCCTAGATAACAGATAGGCGCACAGTAAATAGGCGCGTTGACTAAGTCTAAGAAGCATGGCGACGGTCGAGCGCTCTCTCCAAGACCAACAACAGGCCTCCCCGAAGGACTGAAGGACAAATGTCGGTTAGAGAGGCATGGGTTTTTATAGTCCAGGTAGGCTATATGAAAGAAGGGGATCAATTGCTCTCAATTTAATACGGTAATATCCCTTCATGCTGCTGCCGCGAAAGCAAACCAATTCTACGAGGACCTGCGCCCTATATAAATCAGTACTTCTCTCTCCGACTTCCTGCACCTACCCGGACCCTGCAAAAATTAGACTGAAGTTCGGTACGGCTTGGGGTAAGGCTAAGCCAAGCTACCACCTACCCCTCGCTTGAGGTATCTTGCGATAGGTAGTTACCCTTCTTGGCGGAGAGCATACATAAATGATGTGGTCCCCGGATGTTGTTACGAATACTTACTATATAGGAGATTTTTCTTTTGTATTGTGATGAGTAAGTAAACTATAGAGATCGAGGTTCAGATCAAAATAACTCTTTGACTAAGGCTTGTCTCTTCGACCTAGTAAGCCAGTCCCTCTACCTCTTCCGCATGCTGGTATGTCTTCCCGTCTGCAAGACCCAGCTAAAGCGAATCTCATCTTCATGAAGTTTTATGGGGACTCTATCTTTACTTGTAGTTCATCACTTGTTGGCAAGGGCAAGGGCTTCGGTGTAAGCACCAGTTCGAACTTTGACTTAGAATCAGACCTTATCTATCTCTCAATAATTGGAAGTTTGATCCAATCAACCACAAATGACCAAAAAAATTTCCAACCACGCATAAGTGTGAAGGATTTAATCCTGTAATAGATTTTATATAGAAGAGTCTTAGAAAAGGGCAATGGTTCATGCATTTCGGGTTGATTCCTCTTACCTCTAGAAAGATAAAGAAATGTCAGGGGGTACTTCACCGAATGGAGCGATAGGTCAAGTATGGGACATTCAGTAAACAATCCCTTAGCTCAAGTCCTCGGAGATACCCAACAGGGAGCGGAGAAGGCTGAGGCGGAGACGGAGCCGCTTTGGAATGGAAGCGTCAACGCAAGAAAAAGAAAAGCCAAAAACGTGAAGTAGAGGGATCCCATCCTTACAGATGAGCCACTCCCTCCCCTGGTTAACTACCACTACCCAGTCTGACCTTTTAATTGATAGCTTCCGCTGGAGCACTTGCCTTCGTGATGAATCCCTTGAGCTTTTATTATCTTTTTGCTTCTTCTTGCTAGCCTTCGATTGTATGGTTTCCTGTATCGCTCTTGTCAAGCTCCAGCCCGATCCATGTGATCTCATCTCGTACTTGGCATTCCCCCTCTCTTTCTCTTAGTCCTAGGATATAGCCTTTCACTAAAGGGAAGGTTCCCGAGCTTGGCTGAAACAAATCCTGGTAGTAGCACAACTTTGGCGAAAAAAAGGCAAGACATATCTGAGTAGCGCTGCCTGAACGAAGCGTGGGCGTAAAGCATCAAGTGGAGGCGTCGAATCCTTGCAAGAGGGGGGAAGACCGGTCAAAGCCAAGTCCAGACAAGCTGGCCAAAAGGCATAGGGCCAAGGCTGAGCTGGCAGGCTCAACTCACTTATTGTGTGCTTTGTTGGAATAGAGTGACATCAAGGGAAAGTGCACTTTATCTCGATTCCTCTCTTTCTACAACTCTTTCTTTCCAACCCACAGCTCAGCCCCTTAGGCATAAAGGTCGGAAACCCCAAGGGTCAGGCCTCAACCGATCTACTGATAAGGTAAGGGGAAAGACAACTTAATAAATAGGTTTATCCTATAAAGACGGGCTAGAGTAAACGCCAAGCGCTGGCCCATTAGTGGGTTCAATTCCTGCTTGCCTTTAATTTTGAATTGAAAGAGTAGTCTCGATCCTATTGAACATAAGCTATATCACAGGGAGTACGTAGATCATGATCGGAGGGGACGACTGGAGAAAGATAAGTCAAGGAGGACCCGAATAGGAAGGAAGAGCGGTCCGTCCTAAACGAAGAGCGGTCACTGAGAGTGAAATGAACTTATTTGGCCGAAGGGGGCCACGGGATTAGACTCTCGATGTATTATTACATTTCTAGCGGTAGGAGAGTAGCCCCGAAAGAAATAGGTCCTAGCGAAAACACATAATACAGCTTATGTCCGAGAGTGTCATAAAAGAAAGGTTAGTCTGCACAGGCGGGACGTGACATTAATAGACAGGTCAAACTTCTACATCGTCTGATTTTCACTCGGATGACGTAATAAATTTTTTTTATATCAGTGTGCAACATCCCCTATGACAGAATTGAACATCAGATATATCACATCCATAAAAAGATTAAAAACAGTCGGTTATGAGAGAATCACTTTTCCTTGCGGGGGCCCCGTCTCCCATCGGTGCGCTGGAGACGATTCTTTCTGTATCTTCGGCTTCATCTTCTCCTACACTGATTAGTTTTGTTTGCCCCCGGAGAGTATCACCGTGAATAATTACTCATATATATCAGCCAGAGAAGCTTGTGACTCATACAATATCAACCATAGTGTATACCAGAAATAAACTTCGTCTAACACCAGATCTTGTTGAAGCTCAGCCAGGACCTGAAAGAGATCAGTAAACCAACGCTTCGCCCACTCCAGACTCAAGCCATGATCGAGTTCCAGACAACATGCCTGAGGTAGGCCATTATTCCTCTCGTCCTATTCAAGGCTTTGCTCAAGAATCAATATTGGATAGATTGGGAGGAAACCTTAACTTAAGTTTGTGAAGATTAGGACTTTACTGGCTATTGTTGCATCAAATAAGTGGTCCCTATACCAGCTAGATGTTAAAAATACCTTCCTACACAGAGAAAACATTGCATTAGTAGGATCCACCCCATGTGATCCGTCATTCAGTGCAATAAGACGGCCCATAACAATGAATGTTTAAATAAGATTCACTTCGTTCTGTACGGGATAAGGAGCGAAAAGCGCAGCATGGCAATCAGAGACAAGTCAAGTTCAGTAATAAATTGGATAGATAGATTCGTGAGTAGTGTAATCATAAAAGCCCACAGAGCGGTGACTTAATTGGTAATCTACTCTTCTTTGTTACCGGAGATCGTCTCCTCGGCTGTTAGGTTCAATGTTCATCGTCACTTGAGTACAAGTACATGATGGTCGTCCTATGAGTGAATGCGCTTCAGTCTAAGGTAAAAATAGCTTGAGCTAATAAAGTTGTAAGGCTCCAAGCCTAGGGTTTAAGCGGATGCCCCAAGGCTCTCTTCGTAATGGCTGGACGCTAATGGATTGGACGACAGGTACGAGAAGCTCACTGCCAGGATATAACCATTCTTGTCCCGAAGAAAAGAAAGTAGATGTTGATGACCGGATCGACAACGGATGTTGACGAGCAAGATCCCTCTGCCCTTGATTGGCTTTTCTCTTTTGGTTGTGGATTGCGTGCAGCTTCACTTCTTTCTTCCACATAGGCTAGCTTCCTTGCTTGCATGCCTTGTGGTGAAGTAGACTTAAAATTGTGTATATTATATAAAGCCAGAGTCTTACCTTTTTTCAAAAATAAGAGTCACGCTCTTTAAAAGCCCCTATTTGACGATGACTTAAGCCTATCTTCTTTCTTTACTTTAAAAAGGGCTTTTTTCGGTATACCGCTCTCCGAAGAGAGCCTGTGATATCTGAGGTCTTTTTCCCATGCATCCTTTCTGTTGGTCAACAACCAAGCACATATGGTTTTTTTAAGTCTCTTATTCTTCTTTGGAGCTTGTTCTTGGTCCCAAGGGAAATGGGGTGACAAAGAAGAAGGACTTATCGCAATCTCAGGTACAACGGCTAGTTGGAAAGCCTTTCAATTCAAGCCAATCTCTTGATTCACATGAATATGAAACCGTTGCAACCGATCCTGCATACCAATCATCCGCCGCTTACAGTTCTGGCACTAAGCCAAGGATTCTATGGATTCAGTCCTGTGGAAAAATACATATTTATTTTAGGGCAATTCAGTTAGTAGTTTCACCAGTAAATCCTTGGGACACTAGCGAGTCCGTCCTTAAAAGCCCTAAAAATTGGGTCCATGAAGCCTTAGATACTCCAAGCCTCAATCTTTATTGTCCTTGAACCTAGACCATGGAAGTATGTTTATAGTCCCATTCCATTAGTGGGATCCATAGCATACGGGTCTTTCCCAAAGCCAGTAAAAAAAGAAGGTTTTCGAGGACTACCCTAAGCCTACAAGTAGGCAGGACTTTCAGTTACAATGTCTAGGTTGGGCAAGCTTGGATTCCCCTACTCCCAACAAGTTGCTGGTCGGGATCGTGAAACTATCGTTGTTTGGTCATAAGGATAATAGTTCTTATCTTATTAGGTCAGGGGCGGCCGGCCCGGGGGTTACCCGCGATTGGTAATGGCATAACCAGAAGAGGAGTAAGGGAGACAAGGTGTAGCGCTGGGTAGCGCAGCGCATCTGTTTTGGGTACAGGGGCTTAGAGGGGTGCTAACCCGGCCACCCAACCCAGCAGGTCAGGGGCGGGCCGGCCATAGGTTCGAATCCTGCCACCTTTCTTGTGGATCATCCTGTGGTTACCGGATGATGGGAATAACAAAGCAAAAATTTATAAATGAGCAGAGCACGAAATGTACATAATATATGAATTCTTTCATTTATCGTTATTTCCGGGTCTTTTCGTTGCATTCACTTACAACAAGAAACAACCACCTGCGTTTGGTGCAGCACCTGCATTTTGGTGCATTCTTCTTTCTTTCCTCGGTCTTTCGTTCTGTCATATTCCTAATAACGTATCCAATTACAACATATTAACCGCTAATGCACCTTTCTTTTATCAAATCTCACGGACATGGTCTAATCATGAGGGTAGTATTTTATTATGGTGTCGGATCCCACGTTTTTATGGATTCCTTCTTTGTTACCGGGGTCGACCCCAAATCCATAATTTCTCAAAACGAGGAGGCCATAGAGAAGTTTTGTATTACTTTGTCTCGAACTTCGTGAAGAACTCCATTCTATCTCTCCCTTGTTATGAACAAAAAACTGGGGTTGCGCCCCAGTTGTACACTCCCTTCGTTCTACGAACCCTTGTTGATTCTGAACTTCGTTCGCGAAGGAACCAGACGTTTGATGGGCCAGCCCTTTTTTATGTGCCGCTTTACCCTGAAAGGATAATTAGCTTTGCTCCTTTGGGTGCTAGGCGCTCCCGTGGTTCGCGAGAAGGAAAAAGAAGGACTCATCCTTTGTTGCATCTGGCACGATATGATAAAGATAGAGCTTCGTCTATCGATGAACAGCGGATTGACGGAGCTCTTGGCATTGCTTTGTTTTTCTCTCCTTTCCTATCAGCGAGTTCCGATCCTTTTGTTCGAAATTTCTTCGTTCGTACCGATCCGCTTGCAGAATCAAATCCTGTTCCACAAGATCCTATATCAGCTATACATCCTCCTTGCATTTATGCCGGAGACGTCGCCAGTGCTATGGGCTTTGGATTATGTAGATCAAAAATTAATAATGGGATAGTGGCACTCCACTCGCCGCCAATGCGGAAGGATGCCGCTGAAAACAAGGGAACGCTGCTTCGCTCTGCTGGATGCGTCGGATCCCGTATAACAAGCGAGCTTTTTACCATTAAATTAAAACATGTGGTCGCAAAATGATATCCATCTCTCTTGTTGCGTAGCAATAGAAGCCTGCTCATGCTGCTTTGGCGGCGCTTTTTCGCCTTCTCTTCGCTCTGGATAGGAGAGCTAGTGGACACGGGGAGGGAGCAGGCGAAGCGTGTCATTCGTAATGAACAGAAAGAGACCACTACTTCTCCTCTTTGTTGGAGCGCCGGCGCGAACACAATGGTATCTAACCAGGACCAGAAACAGATTCGAATTTGGATCTTGACATGTCGGTGGTTTTTAACCGTGGGCATCATGCCAGGAAGTTGGTGGCCTCATCATGAATTAGGTCGGGGTGGCTGGTGGTTTCGAGATCCCGTAGAAAATGCTTCTTTTATGCCTTGGGTATTAGCCACAGCTCGTATTCATTCCGTAATTCTACCCCTTCTTCATTCTTGGATCTCGTTTCTTAATATTGTGACTCTTCCATGTTGTGTCTCAGGAACCTTTTCAATATGGTCCGGATTGCTAGCTTCCGTTCATAGTTTTGCTACAGATGATACACGAGGAATCTTTTTATGGCGGTTCTTCCTTCTAATGACCGGCATATCTGTGATTCTTTTCTTCCAGATGAAGCAGCAGGCATCGGTCCGTAGAACTTATAAAAAAGAGATGGTTGTGGCGCGAAGTACTCTTGTGCACCTCCGTCACTTGGCTCGCGTGCAACCCCGCCCCGTTATGTTATGGAAGAATTAAACTTATTACCGGGCTGGTTATTCAGAGCCAGCGGCTGCCGGATTTCGTCCCGCAACTAAAATAAGATCGCTTCGGGGGTCACTGTGGCGTGGCTGAATGAAGAGCAGTCCGCCCCTACTGCGTTTGATCAATAAATTCTGGATAAGTTCGGAAGATGGTCAAGGTAGCTTGCTTCCAAGCCACTGCATTAGATGCGCATGTAGTCATAGTAGTAGGCTCATAATGCCTCTCTTCTATACTAAAATACTACTTAGGATGAATGGCTCGTTCTCTTACTTGACCATGGCATCGCCAACATGAGTCTGTGTTCGGTGGTTGATAAGCTGCTAGTTGGTATTTAGTTTAGGGCTTGTTATTTCCTTTAACTTTTCCCAACGAGGTGGAGGGCCATCGCAGAAAGTAACCTATCCCCGTAGTTCCGAAGACAGGAATTGGGTAGTAGGGGGCCTTGGACCCCAAAAAAGGCTTTGACCTGTTGGCTATTGCGTTTACCGCGAAGTGAATAAATTTGGGGGGCAGAAACGGATGCCAGGGACAGAGTCACCTCAGGGTTAATTTAATGCCCACGGGCAAGAAAAGGTTCTGAAGTGAAGCCCTTTGACCCAGTGTTATCGGATTGGTGGAATGAAACCATATCGAATAAGGAACTCGTTCTAGTACCGCTACCGCTTCGACTGCGAGAAGGAAGCCCGATGAAGAAGATTACTCGACTCGCGTCTGGGAAAACTGGGAAGACAGACCTTAGATGGCTCAGCTTCGACCCATTTGGTGAAGTAATCGGTAGCTACCAAAAGAAAGGGGTAGAAGAAGGGGCTCGGGATCTTCGGATCAAAGTACCAAGCAGGCAAGAATGCACTGATCTGTAGTACGCCTCAGGAGTCAGCGGAGAATAGTTCCAACTATAGGCAAGTCGTTCCTAGCCAAAAAGTAGGTAGCCCCGCGAAACCTCTTATTCCGGCTAACTACGACTACTCAGGAATAGCGGCGTTTCTGCTGTTAGGGGTAATCTCCTGTTGTCTCTTTCCTGACCTACTCAATCGAAAGATGCCCACAATTGGATGCTAGTCTCTAAGTCCCTACTTTGACTGTGCCTTATCTTAGGGCATGGTACCTTAGTTGAAATCCATAGTTTAACGCTTTCCCTTGCAAAGACAAAGACCTGATTTGTCCCACCCGGGGATCTGACCCTCTTGATCCTCCTCTAGGATCCACGCTTTAGTAAGCTCACTCGTGCCGTCCTACTAAAGGAAAGGGCTCTTTCTATTCCGAGTTGGCTTGCACCCTATCCTATTCGATTAGGAAACTTATGATTCTAGAGCAAGTTACATCCATAGAAAATCCTCTAGAAGTTCTGCTCAACAGGAAAGTCATAAAGAAGTGCCACAGCACTATTGCTATTGATCGGACATTCACTATTGCATTACCTGAATGGAATGGCAGCAATCTTCTTAGTCCCTGCGCATTCAAGAACAAGTCCATCCAATCTTACCGTTCTTTAACCTACGAGTGCTTCTGGCATAAGCGTTGCTAGTGAAAGCAACTGACAAGGCCTCAAAGCTGTTTCAGGAGGAATATAAAGCAAAAACACATTTCGACCGGGCACGTATCGAAGGAGCAAAGGAGGAGGGAGGTAGCAATAGCATTAGCAGGAGCAGAAGGAAGCATGGCAGTCTCGCTTGTTCTCGAATCAGCGCACTAGGAGTCGAAGATTTAAGATGATTTCCGACAAGTGCACATTCATAGGCTGTTAGCAGGATAAGGCGAGAAAGATATTTAATTAACAGATTTTACTTTGACTGATTAGCTGCTAGAAGTAGCCAGTTAGTCCAATGCAACGAACACGGGCTTGGATAAGAAATAAGGGTCTTGGACAGGGTTAAAAGGAGACGAAGGATAGGTTGGATAAAGGTTTTTTGGTAAACTTAAGTTTTTGTATTCTATGGCACAGGTGTGTTATGAAGAGGATAGACTCTGGCTTCTTGGGTACCTGAGGGTTAGATGTTCAGGATCATGACTAGGGTGAGACTTCAATTGGTTGGCTTTCTTTATTTTGTTCGAGTTTCATGTACTTGGCTACTGTTGACATGACTGGGCTGGTTCAAGTTCTTAAATGCGGCTCCATAGGGTGCAGACAGGGGTTTGGTTGAACTATGGTTGATTTTTGATAAAATTTGCTTGCTGTCTTAACTCAACTTTAGAACTTCTCTTCCTCTGCGTCCCACACATGCCTGCACTATTGATTGACAAATTCAAAAAAATAAGTCTTCTATTAGCGATCATTTTGTATTGGGTTTTCTTCTCTTTTTCTTTTTCTAGTTAGTGTTTTAAAAGCTTTTTCTCTGACTTCTGTGACATTTGTCCCAAAAACAATGTTCGACTTGCATGTGTTAAGCATATAGCTAGCGTTCCTTCTGAGCCAGGATCAAACTCTTCTTTTGAGTATGATTGGGCCCTGCAGTGGTAGAACCTAGTGAACCGGGCGTACTACTTCCCATCTTATCCCTTCACAAAAATAGAATAGTAGGTAAGATTCACTAGCTAGAAGTTGACTGATAAAGGTAGAGTTTGTAGTAATCAATGAGAGAATGGTAATGCTAAAGGTAGGAAGAAAGAAGTCTCATTCTATGCTGACCACTTACTATGGATCTTCTCTCATTTGATTTGAGAATCTTATTTAAGCCATAGGCTATCGATTAGGGGAAGAAAGCATGCCTTTGTTGGTCACCATCACCACCATCGTTAACATCGGTACACTCTTAAATAAGGCCTACCTCCCTTCCATTCAACCAGAGCAGCAATGAGAACAGAGACTAAATTAGCTAAGCAATGCATCAACGGGAGGATTCTGAAATTATCTTCTCATATGACATTCTACTTTGAGCAAGTCACTTATGCCTATTCCTTGATAGGAGAGGGAAAAGCATTAGGTCGGCCACAAAACGATGATGAATAAACCTGAGGTGGGTAGGTGGGAATCCGAGGATTAAACTTCTGTTGATGAATGCATTCATACCATCATCTCTATCCCTTGCTCATTATAGGCCAATCTCTTCCCTTCTTAAAGTACTTTGCCTTCGGCATCTCACTTGAATTGGAGAATGTATTAAGCATAGGATCATCCAGAGTCTGTAAAGTCCACCTCGCTTAGCTCAACCTTATCCATAGACGATCTCTATCTCTTCATTGTTATGGTACTCTTTGTAGTAGGTAACTTTCTATACTTGAGCCACTTTACTAACCCTTAGCTTGTGTTCGATACCTCACGCCTTCACTTAATCCAAAAGCTTGGCTTGCTTCGTGTTCCAACTTAGCAATATGAATACCATCGTTAGCAATAACTTCCCCTTCGCCTAATCCCTTTATCCCCTCTCCCAATCCCTTCTTTCAGTTGAATGTTTGCAAAGTCCGATAGAGTGGAAGAGAGAGCGGGATTAAGAGACTTAGAGGACATATGCTACTAAAGTCCTAACATGGGGGCATAGCGTTTTGACTATATCATTCCTTACTTGTCGGCGTAACGACAACTAATGATTTAATACCTAGCTTATTGATGAATTCGGCATAAGAAGTTAATACTTCCACTTATTCCCTATAATAGAAGACATGGAGGCCTTACAACTTTTCAGGATCTATTACCTGCATGATAGGAATATTAAATAGACATGAAATCAACGGGAAGCCTATTCCTACCCTAGTTTATTGGCTCTTAGGTCGGTGAAACTGTCCCTATAGCTAAAGTCAAGCCAGGAGTTCACGTTTTAGTTTGAGTTCAGGACAGGAAGTATGGGACCTAATTAAATGGAGTACTTGCACCCACTCTCGACGCCTACTTTATTAAACGAAGGACAGGGCAGGCATACTCTTCGACAGACAGAAGGAAGGATTGGACTGGTGCTATAGCTTTCCCTTTTTCCAGCCATGTAGGTTTTCTTGAAGCACAAGCCATTCTAAGAGCTCCATTCAAGCCTTATCCTGAAAAAGGCTAAAGACTGTTGGGAGAGTCCTGGGCGGTCCGGTAACCATTGCCCCTTTTCTTTTGGATGTAGCTATTTCCTTACATATAGAGGAATCGAGGAGATTCGTATACGCCCAGAAGCTCGCAAGACCCACGGCGCCTTGCTACAATAACGAGTGGCTAGTTCGTTCGACATCTAGGGGATACCCGTCTACTTCGCTTCACCAAGCAGACCCCACGTACTTTAATTATCCGTCGGCTACTACGAACCCGACCCATAGGCCCATACCTTTCTCGACCGAAGCCATAAGTAGTAGTTTAATGCTTGATCGAAGCGGCAGTTACCAGGCCCGACCCAACTATCCCAGGGAAGAAGGACGCAAAAAGCCCAATGTTACAGGGGCTTGGGATGCCTCACCCGGATGAGGAGGTAGCACTTGGTGTGAGTGCGCTAATAAACCAACCCATTTGATAAGAAACCTATCGAGTGTACGCTTTCGGTTAAGTGAAGGGATAGACCGAACCAGCTCACTAACGAAATTTAAGATCGGGGAATGTTACCCGAAGCATATCTCGTTGGATGGATGTCATTGCCGCAAAGTTAGCTTTTATGGGACTTTCACAAAGCGGACTACTATCAGTAGTATATGCCTTCCCTGGGAAAAGCGGTAGAACATCCTGATCTCAAAGGAGAGCCTTGCTTTTTCTGTGCTGAGTCTATAAGCAAAGAGGGGGTGCCTAGTACACTTGAGATGCGTCCTAAGGTCGCCAATGACCAGTACTGCAACTGAAAGCCAGGGCATCTTACCCTAAAAGGCAGAGTTGGAAGACTTTCTTGGTTCAAATCCAATAGTAGCTAGAACCAGTGAAAGGGTAGTTCACCAGACCCGCTCACAATAATGCGAATGAAACGGCAGATAAGCCCATTACTGGTTACGGTGATAAGATCCTAACAAACGGTCGGCCGGTTTACATTTACAACAAAAAAAGAAAAGATAAGGCAATTAAGGGATGAAAGATAGCGGCAGACTAAGGAGTAAAGACTGACTCTTTCTCTTCTATTCTATGGAACACATTTAAAGACTGACTGACCTACTAGAGGGAATAATTACTCCTATTGACCGAAGGCTAAAGGACTCCTATGCTTTTTTCACAATCGCCGATCAGATGTTAGGAATCAATTGCAGCGAGAAGCCTCTCTTGGCCAAGAAGCAAGAGTTCTGGTGCGGGAGTAAGATTCTTATCCAATCTGTCTATTAGTGGAATCCCCTAAAATAAATCTTAATCTCGTGTAAATGAAGGGAAATTTGATGGCTTAAAGGAGCTTTTAAGCCACTCTTCTAATTCCTCTTGGGTTATTTCCGATCGGGTCTTGCTAGGGGTTGGTGCATTAATGCCGAGAATACGCTGTTTGAAAGGTAACTTGATCTAGATGCGGAGTCTAGTTTGCACTTTATGGTACAACTTTTTATCCTTTAAATAAGAGGAGGTGGTCAAGACCTTAGGCAGCTCGACGCATCTAGTTTCGGTCTTGCTAACGGGCGACAAAAGGATGTTGGCCTTCTGATTTGAAGCGGAGAAGGGGACCCCACAGAGATCTACCTGGCCTCTCCATCAAGTCTACTGATTGTCCATAGAAAGTATTCTGCAAGCTTCTGGGGCAGGTCGCCTCTTATTTAATCGTATATATATAATGGAATATATAGTTGGGGGTTGATCTCTAGTCTTTTAATCCACAAAAACCTCCTAAATACCTACCTTGGCATCTTTAATTGAAAAATGCGTATGGTAAGTAAGAATAAGAATGAACGGAAGGATGAGTCGATTAGATTAAGAGGAAGGAGGAGTAGGCATCGACCTAGTTAGTCGTTCTCATGTATATAAATAATAAGGCTCCTTCTTTATAGAAAGGGTAGTTTTTCCTGCCTATCTGTTCCTATGTGTGAAAACGAGTATGTGAACAGAACATCTTTCAAACATCGAGATTGGGTTGGCGGTCAGTAAGGAAAGCCTGGTGTGGTGATCTGATCAACAAAAATAAATCCTGAAATTACATATATAATGATAGAAAGAATCGTTCAGTAGGCTAATCTTGACAGTTTCCATTTTCGATTGAGAAAGCGCCAGGCCCAAAGAGCTCTACAGTAGTGCCTTCTTGCTTGGTCTCAACAATTTGGCTTTGACACGGGAACGAAGACTTTCTAGAACAAACATTAAACCTTCACTCTTTGCCAAGATAGTACGAATGAAGTTATTAGTGCTACCTAGCCCCGTCTAGATGGATAATCTCTTATATGATATAAGTTGTCGCTTCGCTCGAGTGACTACGTACCTGCCCCTTCGACATAGATGATTGGACTGTCTTTCTTTGGCCTATAAGAATGGCACTTGCCTTTTCTTGGTCGGTTCGAATCCGGCCCAGTCCTAGGTACGCACGTAACAGACGTTCGTATGAACTAGAGCCTTTCTTTTGATCAATAGAACACGAAGAGGAGTCAGCCAAAAATAAAGAAAACAAAAAGTAATGACACAGTAAGAGCGATTTAACTTTAGTTAAAAAAAATTAAAAGAAAGTCTGATCGGACCAAGACGAAAAGATTCATACAAAGAGGGGATAAGAAGGGATAACGCTTCGATCAGCATGAAATAAGGTAAGACCTGAAGCGTATAGTAGAAACTCCTTGAGTTAAGCATAAATCAGTACCCTAGAGGCTACTAGAAAGATCTGAGGGCGATCTCGCATTGCTGCCTCACAAAGCCCTTCCAGCTTTCTATATGCAAGACTTCGTCTAGCCCCTCGTAGACAAGACAATTACTATCCTAAAAGTTGCTTGATACTAAGTCTATCTTCATTCCCATCCTGACATGCGGAGGCTGCCAGTGCATTGTATCTAACCACACTGTGGCAAATCGATACAGGTTGCTAAACAGCTTACTATACCATACAAAGGAATATCCGGCTGTTATAGAATCCCCTGCTATTTAATATGAGTAACTATCCAATTCCATAATAGAAATACATGGGACTAGTTGGTTTTATTCCTTCACTTAAATCAAGGATCTTAGATCTTGCCGCTGTGATCTTTTCTCTTGTTTCAGAAGCTGGGATTGGGACAACTTTCCTTTCTTAACCAGGCTCAAGGGAAGTTAGAAGTCAAAGAAGCCTTGGTGCCTAGCGAAAGCGAGTTCTTCTTTCTTTTCTTGCTCGAAGGGTAAGCGGATCTGAGTCAATTTGATCTTTTCGGCACTTTCGAATGATTGTGTTTAACACCCTAACGATTCTGTGAAAGGGGATTCATATTACTGTTGAGCTGACTAAACTCAGTTGTCGGTTAGCGGGTGCAGGTCAAACGAGGAAAGAAAGAAGAGTTGTGGTACAACCAGACGAAATATCACTGATCATCCAGGCACAGAAACTCAACCAACTGTAGATGCAATCTTAATGCATTCTGGGATGAAGGCCATTCCCATCCCAAGTGGTGGCCCGATTCGGCCTGGCCTGGTCAGGAAGAGATTCACATAGATACTTTTGCTATCCGGGAATCTCTTTCTATGTTAGCTAGCGGGGGCAGGCTTTCCTATGATAGTCCCGCTGCGGCCTCTGACCGTCCGTTACGTCTCATCTTGATTTGGCTATACTTGTATGTAGCCAGCCATGTTAGCTTCACATGAGAGAGCCATTTTTTTAAGGCTAAAAACTCATCAGTCAGCTCGGCCCCTTTCCTATTCAGCTTTGCCGCCTATTAAGAGAATAGGTCCCGTTCAAGCGGCCCGCCTTTATTCATCTATACCAGCTGCCCCACGCACGACCCAATATGAACTATTTCAGCGCCCCTATCTAGATAAGAAGCAGAACGCGCCATCACCTACAACCCTTTCCTCTGCCGGGGACTTCCACGAAATGAAAACGGGCGGCATCGTCGTATGCTCGACATTGGTTGCCCTGGTTTATATCCCGGAGTACTCCTATGGCCGATCTTTCACCCAACCTACTCAAAAATATAAAGGCTTGACCCCGTCCCGTTTGGAGAATGACCCTTATGGCATGGCTTAGTCAGTTACTATCGCAGTTCAGATAAGATTCGGACCGCCACTTCTCTGAAAGCATGGTTCTTGCCTTCCTCTTTCCTCCCTCCTTGGAGCTCGTCCATTCGTTAGGTGATCCCTTTCTCTCATGGTCATTGCCTTCCTCTTTCCTCCCTCATTGCAGTCACCTCTGGGGTTCTTCGCACCTGGATAGTACCAGGACCCTTGTGCCCCGGCCCTTGATCAGATAAATCCGCCCTTAAACCAAAAACGAAAAATGAGCCTTGCAACGAGACGCGAACATCCCCCATGCTGCGGTTCCCTCTGGTCCGTTCCCGGGTTGGGTTAGGGGAACATCCGAGCGATTGCCTTCGCGGATCCAAACGCGCTCACAAGGCGCACAATAAGAATAAGACCAATAGAGACTTCATAAGAGACCATTTGAGCTGCAGATCGTAATGCTCCTAGAAAGGCATATTTTGAATATAGAGGAGTGAAAGTTCCCAACAACGAGTTGATCATACCCTTCTTTGAACCGTACGAGCACATCCTTTGTAACCCCCCCACCGCGCTTACGGCTCTATACCCCAACCCAACTTGCTCTGGCCCCCGGTCCTCCCTTTCTATTCCTCGGTAAGCGGACTGAGGGAGCATGAGGGGGGGGGGGGGAGGGGGGGGGGTGGGGGGGAGGGGGGGGGGGCGATATCCTCTTTTGACTGATAGAAAGCATCTCTCTTTTGTCCCTCCTGACCGAACCCGAAAAGAATAACTTTATGCCACTTTGTACACTTTAGTGTAGCCACCTTCTTTAAACGTGCCAAGCTGTGGAAGAGAGGTGCTAGGGGAATCAATGCTCTCATCTGAAACAGGGCTTGAAGCCTTCGAAAAACCTTTATGCTCTTTTGTTCCTATCGAGTGGCGTCAACCGGACTGAAAAATAGAATATCTGATCGAGCTCTTTGGTATGCGGCTAACCTTTTAAATGGAGTTGTTCTTGCTAATCCCATAAACTAAAGAAATAGGGTGGGTAGGATAAGGACTCTTATCATACAGCTCTTTTTCTTGCTCTTCAGGTGTCCTTTTATTATCTCTTGGCCCGTTGCGCCTGTTTGACCAATGAGAGTCCAGACTTGAGCTCATCTGATTAATTTATTCTTCCATTCGTCAGTATCGTCAAAGAAGCTGAACTCAATCCCGATTGCTACCAGTGTCGATTGGCATTCCGCTTCTATAAACTATATATATACACTACATATGTGACCATGATTCTATCTTGGTGAGAGTGGCGTAACTTGAAGCTGCACGGAGACCATTTCCTTTTCTTGCTCTCGTGTTGGATGTCATCTCGACATATTGGTCGGTTTAAGATGGTTCCGGTGGAGGGAAATCCTCCATTGGCCGTTGACCTTTGATTCTCTTCTCTGAACAGCTCTTAGGCTAAGATTGAGTTGAATCCGCTTCTCTTTCGTATTCCTCAGCTCGACTTTATGTTGCCGAAGCTGTCTTGAGGCCCTTTCTTTCCGGCTTCCTTGAGTCAGCTCGGTAGCTAGTCTAGTAAAATAGCCTCTTCCCTTAACCTTAATATGGCTTGCTCCCTCTTCTCGTCCACTCGGGAATGAAGCCTTACCTTTCGCTACTAACCTGTTAAATGGAGTTGAGTTGGCTACAAAAAAAATGGCTTCAGTGATGGTTGCTTCATCAAATATAGGTGGCAGGGTCAGACTTTGAGAAAGAGTCCACTGCTATGTTATTAGTAAAGAGCTTTTATTGCTTGTTTAGTAAAGTAATGCTTTTAATTTTGATAGGGGTAGGTGCTTGCTGGGGCACTCTTCATTCTTCATTCGAAACTAATGAATGTCGGGGGTTTCTGCCTTGTTATCAAAAAGGGAGTTGGGTAAAGCAAACTCCCTCCTTGGACGAGCACGGGGCTTAGTCAAGTAGAACCGGGTTGCGCTGCTTGATGCTCCGATCGAAAACAAATCAGTGGGGCCATGCCGGTACGAGTGAATATGCGTTAAAAAGGTAAATCCCTCCCCTACGACACCAAAAAAAAAAACGGGCCAAACTTCTAACAGCCCTCCCGCTTCCATAGAACAATATCGTGGAAACGTAGACCTAAGTGGTCATATATATTGGATCTTGGGGAACCATCACAAGTGCGGCCGACCTATATTTAAACGAGAATGCCGTGTCATCCAGCGGATCCTAGAAGAAGGTGACTCGCGCAGACAGCTGACTCCTTCTTTTCAATAGAAAGGAATAGCCAAACCAACCCAGCTGGCTGGTCAATCTCAAAGATCTTATCGACCGGCAAACCTGAGACAGACGACCACGGTCCCGACCTTATCAGCACCGGAGGTGTACTAATCAATGAACCTACCCCTGAAACCTACTTTCTTTTCTGACAAAATCCACCAAGCCTAACCGGTCACGACATGTTGTTGATATTGATTGAGTTTGAGGGACTTTCGCTGACAAAATCCATCAATAAACCTAGACCACGGCTACTTTCGTAACCAAAGCGTCAAGACAACAGCCAAAGGTCACCTTTGGATTCTTAAGTAGGGGGGTTCCTTTTCGGTTCGGCTCCCACATTTTTTTTAGATGTAGGGGCAAGGCAAGCCCCAGGAAAGTCTGGCTCCCAGCTAAATCTCGGTCGGCATCCAGCTCTCGAGGGGGTGGGGTCCTGGAGCGAACTAGTCATTGCAGTCTTGCCCCAACCCAAGGTCGTTAAGGTTGGTGAGGAGCATTGTTTTGAGGGAGGGAAAGTGTGGTTGACAAGCCACTTCGAGGAAGCGACTGGTTATCATTCCACTTTGTCTGCTATTCAAGTCTTCCCCTTTCTTGTCGGCATAAGGACGAGAGGGGCTAATGCCACTCGACTGGTTGGAGAGGGGTGAAGTGAGAGTCAAGAGTTTAGGCTTTCGCGCAGCTCAATCCCTTGCTTGTTGTTTTCGAGCCGGAGCTCGCCGGGTAGTTAAGTGGTCCGTGAAGGTTAAATCACACTTGTGTTTAGCAAGTTGAGTAGTCAGACTTCACATTGATTGAAGCAGCTGTTGGAGAGAAGACACCAGTCAGACCTGCAAGCACCGGGTAGTACGCAGCGGCAGTTTTCAATCATACAATGTGTACTCGTAGTCTGACTTTTAGCGATAGTCAGCTGTCCTCGTTCTCCTTTTTTCATTGCCCTATTGAGTAAGGGTCGGTGTTTTCAAAAATGTCGAGCCGACGGGGTATGGTACCAGTAGTGACAATGGCAAAGGGGGGGAGATGGACACTGCTGAACCGGAAGAGATTGCTCAGGATGAGTGTCTGGGTAACAAAGCCTAGAATGGTGTAGTCAAGGTGCGAATTTAACGAGCGAGGATAGTGATTTGGCCCATAGAAGTGAGGATCTAGAAGAGAGGGTTGATATTGGGTAAACTATGGCAGTGATTGAGGGGGACTTATTCTGTGATAAACAAATGAATGACTCCAAACAAGAACCTCAGGGCAGCCAATCCTAAGAAAATAGGTGAACTTGAAGCAGTAAGAGTAAGCGTTCAGGTGCTGGTGCTATGACCTTTTTTCCACCCTTTTCGAATCGAATGATTCAGCGCTCTCAGAAAGCGGATCAAAGGCTTCCTATTCAACGGATTCAGATTATTAGACTTTAGATGCTTCAGATGCTTCCTCAGCCGCGCAGTACGTACTTCTATTTGGAGAGTCTGTTCCTTACTTAGCTAGGACTTTGAGTGACTAGAGTAGCCCCTCTGTATCCGAAGGCGCCTTTTTGTTTATGCACCTGAAACAGCTTCCGATTTTACTTACTTATAGTAAAGTGGATCGACCCCGTTCAGTAGAATTACGAAGAAACAAGGCTAGGCTTCTTGAACTAGAGCTAATTCGATCTTCCCCTTTCGACAATGTGTTTGAATAGCAAGCAAAAGTACCACGACCGAACAATTATATTCGGTTAACAAACAACTTCTAGAATGAACTACATCCATCAACCGACATACCTTTCTTATCGTAACTACGATCTGTCTTCGGTGTTGATATGATCTTTCTATCAAGAGAAGATCGGGAATTGCCGCTAGGCTTTTCTTTTAGCTCTCACTCATCCCGGGCGATTCTTATTATTCTTGGCCACTAAGGTGGCTTTTGACCAAGAGAACGAGCTAGACAGAAAAGGTACCACCGAAAGAAGGTCGACCTCACCCCCTTTGGTAAACCGAAGCAGAGAAAGAGGATGAAGCAAAGCTAGGCCATTCGATTAGGGATGTTCTCACCTGTGCGTACTATCTTCAAGAAGGAATATACAAAAGAACCTTCTTCTTTTTCGCATCTCCAAAGTTCGAATGCTTTTATGCTGTTAAAAGAAATCGAATACCATTCATGACCCAATTCAAAAATGGAGTTACTGAAGACCTCCTCCCCCTTTCCCACCTATCCCTCCTGCAAGAGAGGACTCGTTCTGGCTTTAAAGAGCCTCTTTTTTAGCAGTCTCGCCCATAAGATAAGAGAAGATTGACCATCTCTTCTTTCAAGCTTCTTTTTGCTTCTTCTCAGCATAACGAAAGAACTAGATGAGGAGAGGCCTCCGGTTTTGAATCTCTACCCTACGCCTTACGAGGGCGCCCTAGCCAGATTAACTTCCAAGGCTCAATCAAGCCTTTGAAACTAGTTCAAATAGTCGTCACAGTCTTCGTTTCTGCTTTCAACGATACTTTCTTAGCTACATCAGCTTGTAAAACTCTCTCTCCTTCACCAGGAAAGGGAGAGCGGTCAAAGTACCAGACGATTTTGGTTGGGTAAGAAGAGCGTACGATAAGAGTAAGCAGATGATGTCGATAGAATACGATTCGTGGGATCTTCCTCAAAGTCAAAGAAAGATAAAAATGAGCTAAAGTATGCCCAGCCCATGAAATTAGATGTCGAATGAGTATGATTTCGAGCATAAAGAGAGAAGAAAAAGGAACTGCAAGAATCTAGGTTTAGCAAGATAGCTTCCAGAAAGACTGAGCTTAGGTGCATAGCGCTTAAATAAGTGGTTGAAGAGTCGCTTTCCATCCCGACAATGAATACTGACTTTCCATTTTGGAGATTTCACTTAAAACACTGGACTTCAAGAAGCAATGAGAGCAAAGGCAAGGAATTGATGCGCCAATAATCGAAGAATGGGGCAAGGCAAATTTCCAGACAATGGCAAGTGCTTGAGAAGGAGCTGTGAAAGAAGGGGCTTCTAGATAATAGGGAGCTCTTGAAGAAGAAGGGATTGCGGGGTGAACAACATTCTGTTGTACTACTAACACTAGTTGTACTAGAGTAGTTTAGTAGCGCCTTTTGAATCAAATAGGCGAGCCCTTTCCGAATCCTAAAGGAAAACAGCCCGATTTGCAAGCAAATAGATAGCCCCCGCCCGTTTGAGTCGTTGCGAGTCGGAAAGCGTACCGACAGTTTGAGTCACGAAAGGGCCGCTTGCTTAATCTTAATTTTATTATATATATACAAATAAAGAAAAAAAATAACTTTTTTATCAAATTGTTCATTCCTGGCCTGGGAAGAGGAAGAAGCAGATAGAGCAAAGGCCTCCTCTTTCCGTCCACTCTTCCCGAAGTGAGCGAATTGCATGTAGAGATCCGTAGGGGCTTATAGTTTAATTGGTTGAAACAAACCGCTCATAACGGTAATATTGTAGGTTCGAGCCCTACTAAGCCTAGCACCCCCTTCTCTTCACCAGATACAAGAAGGCAGTCGAAGTCCCTTCCACTCTTCATTTTTTGGGAAGACATCGCGTTCCTAGTCGATTTCCCTCATGGCACTGCCTCCTTAATGCTACAAAGTGAAGCAGGCATAGAGACCAACCATAGGGTATCTATCCTGTGATCCAACCCCGACTCGATATCGGTAGTCTCAGTCTCTCCCTGCCCGCCCTGGTATGAGTTGAGAGTCTAAGAGGGAGTCTTATTCTACTCTAGGCTCACTCCACCCCCTGTGTTGTCTTATTTCAGGAGGGACAAGATTGTTAAGAAATCCCTGACTCTGTCTTTGGGCTAAAGCCTATAGTTCTCTCCTCACTAATGGAAGTCTCTTAGTAAGTAGCATCAGCTCTTCCGGGGGGAAAGCCTAAGTAAGGAGTATTTGCGGGCTATCCACAAGCATTAGTTCCCCCCCTGACCTGCCTCCAAACCTCAAGAACATCAGCGGACGATACCTTCTTCCAAAAGTCCTCCCTCTTTGCTTTTCCCCAGCGAAAGAGACTGAAAAAGATCCGTATCCGATTCCTCGGGTCTTGCTGCGTCAGCTACCTTAGATAGGAGGCTTTAGCCTATAAAGAAAGCAGCTTAGTAGTAGGAAGGAAGCAAAGAAAAGTATGCCCTACATGTCAACAGGGTGGAAGTTCAAAGCATCGAAGATGAGTACATGGAAGCACCAATGAAGAAAGTCCAGAGTGCAGATATAACCTTATCGACAGAAGACATCTTGCTAGACAGGAATAATCATACATAAGAGGCCCCTTTATTTTATCTCACCGGTGACATCGGCGAAAGAAAGAAGGCTACCGCGGGACCCTGGGGCCTCCATCAACGTGATGCCACTGCGGGCCCTAGCCGATCTAGGAATTCCTTACTACGAGCCGGATAAGTCAGACCAAGGTTACTATTCTGGGGTACAATGTCGACTCGCAAAGAGCCATCAGCAAGATTCGTCTCTTGTGTGTGCGGATCTGAAGACTGAGGTCACTTCTTACGTGATTGACGGTGACACCTCCTAAACTTCCTGCTTGGATCCACAGCGTGGTACCTTCCACCCTTCATCAATGCTTCAAATATGTTGATGAGAAGGGATAAATTGGGTTTGACTTCTATTCTATGATCATGGTAGCAGCGGTGAAGTAGGCACGGATATCAACGTCTAAGCCCACAGTAAACATATGATGAGCCCAAACAAGAAATCCAAGAACACCTATATTGATCATGGCATAAACCATGCCTAGATACCCGAAGACTGGTTTTCCCGAAAAATTCGAAACGATATGACTTATGATATCGGATCCAGGCAGAATTGGAATATACACCTCTGGATGACCGAAGAACCGAAAGAGATGCTGGTATAATATGTGGTCTCCCCCTCCTGCGGGACCAGAAAAGGTTATATTAAAGTTTCGATCGGTTAATAACATTGTAATTGCCCCTTCCAGTACCGGAAGTGATAATAAAAGTGGGAATGCTGTTACTGGAACGGACCACACAAATAGGGGTGATCTATGCATAGTCATTCCAGGTCCACGCATGTTGGAGATAGTTGTTATAAAATTGATAGATGCTAAAATGGATGAAACACCAGATAAATGAAGACTAGAAATTTCTTAATCAACTGCTCCTCCAGAATGGCTGGTAATACCACTTAAGGGCGGATAGACCGTCCAACCAGTGCCGCTACCCACCTCTACTAAGGCTGAGCTTAATAGGAGCAAGAGACTTGGTGGAAACAACCAAAATGAAATATTATTTAATCGTGGAAATGCCATGTCAGGTGCACCTATAAGAATTGGAACAGACCAATTACCAGATCCACCTATCATCGCCGGCATAACCATAAAAAATATCATTAAAAAAGTGTGAGCCGTTATTAAAACATTATAAAGTTGATGATTCCCACCAAGAATTTGATCGTCGGGTCGTGCTAATTCCATACGAATCAATACTGAGAAGCATGTGCCCATCACTCTAGCAATGGCACCGAAGATGAAATATAGAGTCCCTATATCCTTGTGGTTAGTGGAGAACAGCCATCGGACCAGATTTGTCATAAAATGGAGATTCTTTCGTTTCCTTCCTTATCAGAGAGGGGCCCCTTCTTAGGGAGCGGGGCTTCCTTCTTGAAAAAGGGGGAGTGAGAGGGGAAGGGAGAATGAAAAGAGGGGTGGGGAAGGTCCGGAAAGCCCTCACTTTATTGATGGGAAATTTTGATCCCCTTTTCTTTCCTTTCCCCCCCGGTTATGGTTCAGGAAAGGGTCAACGCAAGGATCTTACTTCGAAGCAATCTCTGGAGTTTTCCCTTATCCGAACGGGTCTTGCAAAAAAATAGGATTTCATATTGAGCTCCAAATAAACACTATTGGGATAGGATGGTTCCTACTAGCTCTCCCCCCTAAGAACCGCACGTGCGAGTTCCCCCGCATACGGCTCAAGTGGCGAAGGTTTGAAGACGCTCGACCCAAACAAGCAACGGCGAGCCCCTATCAGAGAAAGCCTTGGTCAAGCGCGCTAGCGCACTTTACTTGGAGGTTCGCGCATCCTCTTGCTGGGAGAGAGGAACGAATCCTTCACGCTTGGTAAGCGCTTCGCTGTAGCCAAGCTTACTGCTAGCCTATCGCCTAGAGCCAAGCTTCGATCGCGAATGCTCTTCACTTCTAGGCGCCTTTTTCCATCACCCGAGATCCAAGTCAGCACCGGCAAAGATCTCTTGATTCCTCGCGGTCGGGCCGACTTGGAATCAAGCTACCTGTCGCCTATCTCACCCCCTTTCTTATTATTAGTAAGATAGGTTGCCCCTTTCCCCTTTCTCTAAGAAGAAGGTAAGCATCCCTCACTGCCGATCGCCTTCAGCAGGGTGAGCCTTCGCTTTTTGGATCTTCTTCTGCCCAATGTCAATGTGGTAACCTCCCGTTTTTGGTTCCCATTGGGTTTACCTTGTTTACAGGTCGACCCCATGGCAGCAAGAAAAAAAAGGCGATCTTGTGCTATACTCCGGTGATCTCTTTCCTACCGAGGCACGCAAACCCCCATCGTGTCCCAGATCACATTCCGTAAATTGAAAGGGGAAGCCTACTCATCCATCAGCTCCTCTCGTAGATCGGTGCGGTTTTACGAAGCGTCTAAGCACAGTTCACTCGCGTTGATCAATCAAGAGCTTTGCCGCCACTCCTTAAGGTTACCTGTTGTATCAAACACTTCTTTAATTATTTCCCACGCTGCATACCCCCTTATTCTTAAGGTAAGGTAAAGGGCCAGGCATGGTGGGGTAGGAGCATTCTGCCGGCAATCTTTTTCGCTTGACCAAGAAGTCTTATGTCCTCCGAGTCGCACGACGTTTTAACCGAAAAAACTTATTTCGCAATTCATGCTTTTCTGTTTTTATGACCAGATATTTTTTCTTGATTTCCATTTCAAATTGTTCTCTGGACTTTTTATCAATATGAGGTGATCGTAACACAGTATATAAGACTCGTGATTCAGGCAATCCAATCTTCCGTGTGTAAGGCGGAAGCCCCCCAAAATGGTTTTCCAAAAAAGGGTGATCAAAAGATCGAATCACTATGAATATCTTGGTGGTCATTACTTTTTGTTTTCTTTTTGGCTAACTCCTCTTCCTGTTCTATTGATCAAAAGAAAGGCACACTTATCTCCGAAATTGGACATTTTCTGAGTTATTATCCGTTCTCCGCCTTATTATAGGAGATATTTACCAGATTAGACTTTGCGCTCTCCAAGACTCTGCCACTCTGACTCTTCCACTTGACAGGTACGGATATCTTGGACTCATAGACCGAGTTGCTTTCTTTATGCAAGGTAATATAGGAATCATTCTATTTGACCCACTACCGTCGTGACAGGTTTAGCATTGTCGTCAACTAGGAAGACATCAGACAGCTTCCCGCCAATGAAAGCTGGTGACTTCTGTTCCAACTGAACTGGGAACAGTCAGGTGCCACCCATTGGACTGGACGCATGAGCCAATGTTCTACACACAAAAGGACTGCACATACACAAACAATTAATAATCCTAGAAGCATCTCTAACTCTTGGCCTCTTCTCAGAGTCTGGGTGCACACACAGAAGCCCCACCACGAGCATCCTCTCCATCTCTAGTGCATCAACCTTGGATCAGCAGCATAAATTCCCCGAGAAACAGCATCCACAGAAGCTAAAGATATGATTGTATTGACTCAGAAGATCAAAATTTTATCAGATAAACCAACCAAAAGAGAGAGAAAGCTTCTTCAAGAATGGGTCATCAGAATCAAGAACCCATTGATGCGCAAAACCCGTGGAAGTTACAAAAAGCATGGATCGAAGAATATAGTTCATTTTCTTTTTGTAATAAATTGTGCCTAAATTTCGCCAGCCTAAAGAGGCTGTGCCGGGCTGTGCACTTTCAGCCCATCACATCAAGGTGAAAGGATTCGAACCTATGGCCCTCTGTACCCAAAACAGATGCGCTGACCAGACTGCACTACACCTCGTCTCACCCCCTCAGCATATAGGTCCACCCGATCGATGAACACTCGAACCGAACTCGCCCATCCTTTTTGAGGGAATAGGGACGCGAGAACCTAATCAACCACTTTTTTTATAAAATATGCCTCCACTCCAGCAAGACAAGATAGGGCAACGCCAAAAAGCCGTATAGTGCAGGAGCGCTCACATTTGATTTTGGCTTCCTCTTTAATTAACTTTAATTTAATAAAACCCGGCTCGGCTACCTGTCCTTTGGACCCAAAGCCCGCTTAGAAGTGGATTCGAACCACTGACACAAGGATTTTCAGTCCTTTGCTCTAACCAGCCGAGCTACCTGAACCACTTTCCTAAAGTATGTTTTCTTCATCGAATAGCGCCCTACCTTACTTACCACTTTACTAGTCACGGAAAAGCCCTTTACTAATAACAAGAAAGAAAGGGTTTTTTTCGTTCGTCAAGCTTTCGGGAAGCTCCTTCAACTGCGGCCTGATCTCCTCTCCCAACATGCTCAAGAACCGAGAGCCGCCCAGGGACTGCCGAAGGGAGCTTGCTTATAAAAATAAGATAGGCCGGTCAAAACAACGCGCAACGGGATCTCCACTCACTAAGTAGTGCTATTCTTTCCTCCGAGGGACTCCACCAACACCAAGAGGTTCTTTCTCTCACGTAATTTTGCCCGCCCGTTCCACTTCCGTGCCGGAGGGAATGGGATTCGAACCCATGATACAATCTTCTTGTATGTCGATTTAGCAAACCAATGCTTTAAGCCATTCAGCCATACCTTCAAGTTGTTGATCGGAATTTAATGTGCGGTTGGTTGCTCGAAGGGCTATCTGATCCGATCAACTGCGTAAGCCGTAGCGCGCTAGCGCGCATACACTTCCTCTATTTATGAGCGAGACTCCATAAAAATCTAATCTGCCACTCGTTGGGCGACGCCCTCTTTTCTATGAACACCCCACCATTGAATGATGAACTTTGCCATTCTTCGCCTCCGACCCGACCAGGAGAGAACAGAGTCAAGCCAAGCCCTTACCCACCTGAATTGAATTAATATCTCCTTCGTCTGGCCGAGAAGGGATAAAGCCCGAGGAACTAGACTGTGACTCTTCTATTACATTACGGAGAAGTCCATTTTCGTCATGATCGATCCACGTCCTACCGTAGTGCCCGGAGAACTAGGCTTGCTTAGCTTACCTTACAAAGCTAGCTTACTAACGTGAAGGCCTTTCCTTCACGGGTTTACTTAGTGCTTGTGCTAAGGAGCAATAAAACGGATGCGCTAAGGTTGACGCTCGACCCAAACAAGCAACGGCGAGCCCCTATCAGAGAAAGCCTTAGTCAAGCATGCTAGCGCGCTTTACTTGGAGGTTCACGCATCCTTTATGCCTAAGGGGATGAGCTGTGGGTTGGAAAGAAAGAGTTGTAGAAAGAGAGGAATCGATATAAAGTGCACTTTCCCTTGATGTCACTCTATTCCAACAAAGCACGCAATAAGTGAGATGAGCCTGCCAGCTCAGCCTTGGCCCTATGCCTTTTGGCCAGCTCGTCTGGACTTGGATTTGACCGGTCTGCCCCCCTCTTGCAAGGATTCGGCGCCTCCACTTGATGCTTTACGCCCACGCTTCGTTCAGACAGCGCTACTCAGATATGTCTTGCCTTTTTTTCGCCAAAGCTGTGCTACTTCCAGGATTTGTTTCGGCCAAGCTCGGGAACCTTCCTTTTAGTGAAAGGCTCTATCCTGGGACAAAGAGAAAGAGAGGGGGAAGGCCAAGTACGAGATGAGATCACAGGGATCGGGATGGAGCTTGACAAGAGCGATACAGGAAACCATACAATCGAAGGCTAGCAAGAAGAAGCAAAAAGATAGTAAAAGCTCAAGGGATTCATCACGAAGGCAAGTGCTCCAGCGGAAGCTATCAATTAAAAGGTCGGACCGGGTAGTGGTAGTTAATCGGGGGAGGGAGCGGCTCATTCGTAAGGATGGGATCCCTCTACTTCACGTTTTTGGCTTTTCTTTTTCTTGCATTGACGCTTCCATTCCAAAGCAGCTCCGTCTCCGCCTCAGCCTTCTCCGCTCCCTGTTGGGTATCTCCGAGGACTTGAGCTAAGGGATTGTTTACTGAATGTCCCATACTTGACCTATCTCTCCATTTGGTGAAGTACCCCCTGACATTTATTTATCTTTCTAGAGGTAAGAGGAATCAACCCGAAATGCGTGAACCAGTGCCCTTTTCTAAGACTCTTCTATATAAAATCTATTACAGGATTAAATCCTTCACACTTATGCGTGGTTGGAACATTTTTTGGTCATTTGTGGTTGATTGGATCAAACTTCCAATTATTGATAGATAGATAAGGTCTGATTCTAAGTCAGAGTTCAAACTGGTGCTTACACTGAAGCCCTTGCCCTTGCCAACAAGTGACGAACTACAAGTAAAGATAGAGTCCCCATAAAACTTCATGAAGATGAGATTCGCTTTAGTTGGGTCTTGCAGACGGGAAGACATACCATCATGTGGAAGAGGTAGAGGGACTGGCTTACTAGGTCGAAGTGACAAGCCTTAGTCAAAGAGTCTGTTTTGATCTGAACCTCGGTCTCTATAGTTTACTTACTCATCACAATACAAAAGAAAAATCTGCTATATAATAAGTATTCGTAACAACATCCAGGGACCACATCATTTATGTATTCTCTCGGCCAAGAAGGGAAACTACCTATCGCAAGATACCTCAAGCGAGGGGTAGGTGGTAGCTTGGCTTAGCCTTACCCCAAGCCGTACCGAACTTCAGTCTAATTTTTGCAGGGTTCGGGTAGGTGCAGGAAGTCGGAGAGAGAAGTACTGATTTATATATGGCGCAGGTCCTCGTAGAATTGGTTTGCTTTCACGGCAGCAGCGTGAAGGGATATTACTGTATTAAATTGAGAGCAATTGATCCCCTTCTTTCATATAGCCTACCTGGACTATAAAAACCTATGCCTCTCTAAACGACATTTGTCCTTCAGTCCTTTGGGGAGGCCTGTTGTTGGTCTTGGAGAGAGCGCTCGACCGTCGCCATGCTTCTTAGACTGAGTCAACGCGCCTATTTACTGTGCGCCTATCTGTTATCTAGGAACCTGAGATTCGGCTTTCACATTTTTTATAACTTTCGCTTCTTAGGTATAAAAATCTTCCATCTGGATTTTTTACGGAAATGACTAAGTATAGTCCCATTCTTCAACATTCGGAATGGCGATCTTGGCCCGACCCTCTTTCTTATCTTTAAGGTACTTTTGCTACAGCAGAGGGCAGTTGCCAAGAGTGGAGTTCACGTGTCCCAAAGGGAAGAGCTTTGGAGCTCCCTCTCCCTCTATTTTAAGACAGACTTTGAGTTTGAGCGGGGAGGGCGAGATGACAAGGGAATCGGCCAAAGGCATCTATCATCTCATCGGAGAAGCGGTCCTAATCTAATAAAGGGTTGCCTTGCCTTACCAAAAGGAGTAAAATGTAAATGGAAATCCCCGGTGCCAAGAAAGTAACCTTTATACTGCTCAATATAATCCTGCCTAGCATATGCTGGCGTGGCAAAAAAGGCCCTATTCTCATATTATAGCTATGCTTGGAGCTTGCAATCCTTGAAAAAGCCCAACCTGCACATTGCTCTATTAACTGCACCTGTCTTCGGTGTTAGTTCGTAATGACAAAATTTATTCTTTTAAGGAAGAAAGCTTGGGGACTGATTAACTGACTTCACCACCAGCAACGGATAGGACCAGAGCTTCTATTTACTCAACAACTCTTACTGTAACAGAAAAGACTGGAACCGGTTAATTATTCAATAACAGATAGGCTTAGAGCCAGTAGTTGCCCTTGGATTATTCAAATGTCATTGCAGATGATCTTCTCGGGCAGTGATATCCCCCACCCAAAGCAAGGGTCCAAAGGATATAAAGTACTGCTTATTCTAATTCTTATCTTAAGTCTTTCCAGTTCCTATTCAAGTGAACGGGGCATCTTTGCATTCCTCCTGGCTACACGAATAGGAAAAGTTGAAGTTGTTATCAGAGCAGGTAATCTCTCCTGCCCTGCTTGTTGAGACTCGTCTCCATCCTATCTGCTCTTGTGCTAATGTTGAAAATCTGATTATAATTGGATAAAAATAAAGAATAATAGGATTCTTAAGCCAATAAGATAGATAAAGCATACCCCTACTACTCGTAAAAAAACTATGTCACTTCCTTCCCCAGCGTTCAGTGTAACGTGAGGCACTATTCCCACAGCAGCTGGTTGGATTCTCCAACTTTGGCAAATGAACCCCGTTCAAGTTCCATCCCAACTGTATCATCTTGAGAAAGGGCAATATGGCAATCTTTATTAGGTCAATCAGGCTTCGCACCTTCCTTTCCCTGTAGTTTAATCGGAGTAACCGCTTAATACATATTATTTGGCAAAGCAACCTCACTGCCTTAATTTAGGAGTGAAAGAGCCCGAACAGCTTTTATTGCACCAAGAGCGGGAACTCAGACAGCGTATGAGTAGCTCGGATCTAGCTAGACTACTCGCTAGGCCCCCTGCCTCTCTTTAAGCATCAAAATAGGAGATCTTTGGGTCTCGGCTATCACTTTACTTTCCTAAGTTTCAAAGGATTTAAGAAGCTGACTCTCGCAGCGGTTAGTGATTCAATCACACCGGAAAGGATAATTCTCAGAGCGTCAAGGCTTAGAGCTTCTTCTCAAGCTTCCTATTTTGTGTGTGGGTTAACTATTGATTCAATTGCGCAAAGAAGCCTAGTTGTCCTAAGAGCTGATTCGGGAACTGCTTCAATTCCAAGAGGAGCCCTTACTCTTGCAGCTTTTTATTTCACAACTCTTTCTATCACAACTTCTTTTTTCTCATACGGATCTAAGCTCTCGCAAGTGCCTTCCCTTCCTTCTTGCCTATTCGATAGGAGCTTGCATTATCTTGGGGAGTTTTTTTATATAAAAGAATAGTTCGCATCAGTGTTATCAGTGCATCTATGAATCCAACCTTCCCTCACAGTGGGATGGGATAAACACAGATTCATCCTTGCAATGGTTATTTCGGATTCTGTAAGAGCGGTACAAAAAGGCTATGAAGATTGTATGCTTTCCTTTACACCTTCAAGCTTGAAGGTTCGCGAAAGCAGTTCGGTGATTGCAAAGTACTCAATCAGGCCCTATCTCCTACGCTACCATCTGTCTTCGATTATAAAATTGATAGTTATAGGGAATTAAAGATAAAATCCTAAAATAAAAGCACGCATGATAAAGTATACAATAGCACCATCTCTTCCCACTACGCGCTAAGAAGGAAAAGAAAGGACAGACAGCAAGCAGGGAAGGGGATTCTTTTTAAGCCTACTACTCTTTGGCCCGCTTGCTTGCATGGAATGAATAGGCTTTCTTACTGGCTTACCTACTGGAACTATCAAGCATAAAGCAGAGATGCCATACTCTTCTTTCGTGCACTATGCTTAAGACATAGAATTAGAAGAAAGACATTTGCAATTGGCTAGGGAAGTTCCCTACACGGGCGAATTCCGACACTCACAGTACTCCCCACAGCTTTCGCCTACTGAGCTTGGGCTGGTAAGCTCTGGGGCCTCTTTCCTTCCCCTGTGTTCCTCCCCTCGCTTCCTAAAGTACTTTCCTTTGGCTTGGAAGGCAGCCACTTATTATGGAATGACATATATGATGATGATGGTAGCTATCTTCCTAGCCTCTGGTACATATTTTATTAATATTATTTACCATCCTTAAAATATGACTTACATTGTAGAGAAAGGTTTATCTAACTAGTTAGGGAGTTTGGCTGACCACCCAGCTTTCTGACGCTTTCTCGATGGTAGGCACCCAACGTCGCCAAAGAAATTAGCCTCTCCTTCTTCCTCAATAGATTTATTAAAATATCCATGGTGCTGGTATGCATACAGTGTCGGAGCTTGAATGGCCTCTCATTTCATTTTTGAAGTAGCAATTCACCAACTCTGGGCATGGCGCAAGAAGGTGCAACATAATGATTCTTTTCATTTTCCTCATAATCCTAGTGATCTCATCATTGCTAAAGCCAAGGAAATCCATAAGTGTTTAGTGAAAGCTCTTGATCTTAATCATCGAGAGGTAGAGTTTATCAAATGGGAAGCTCCCTCCCATCCTTTTATTAAAGTCAATGTTGATGGTTGCGCCAAGAATAATCCAGGACCAGCAATGGGGGACTCATTAGAAATTAGAATGGAGAATGGATCATTGGATTCATGGAGAACCTAGGACATTCTACGAAATGTGCCAGCATATTTGTTTGCCATTTATCCAGGTCTTTCTCTTTCCTGGAACTCAGGAATCAGAAGCATCTTTAAGCGGATTCGAAGGTCTATCTCATTAGTATTATCCAACCTGTGTTGTGGTTGATGGCCCCACTCGAGCTCTAATTCCATACTATATTATCGATTTTCAGGTTAAAAGTCTGAGTGGCCCCGTGAGGATGCAGAAAGCCAATCCAATGATAAGAGTGGTTAATTGGGCTCTCTTCGAAGGATTTCAACCTTGATGCCCTATCGGTGGCGGCACCTAAGCCGAATTTCATTTTTTAGGGACGAACTGAAATACCCCATCATAGCACTCTAAGGTTCAGCGGGGAACTATTGAAGCTTCCAGCTTTCCACCTATATGGATTTGTTTAGCGTAAATAGACACGATCTTCGTTCGGTACACGTCCAGTCTCTGTAAGCCCTAAAATCGTAACTATGGCTATGTTCTCAGATCCGTCTTTTCTGCTGTTCAAAGATCTCTCCGATTCCCTTTCTTTCGAAGTGGCATTGCCCAAAGTTGAATCCAAGGCTTGACACGGTCTTCTTAGCCCAGGCTAACTAGAATAGTTAGTAGCTTATAGGATCCCAAAGCAATAACCACAGATGGAGGAGCATTCGTCTTTTTAACCAGTTTTCCCCAACCAAGATATCCTGCCTATCCCGAAAAAGGGACTCCCTCCTTCCTTATTCTTATTCAACTAAAAGTAAAGTAAGGAAGATAAAAGATAAAGAAGAATCCTAACCAGAAGATAATCGGATTTTTCTCAGAGTAACATAATGCAAGTATTTACCTTTGGCAAGATATAGAGTCGAGTGAGGCGAAATGAATTGCGTATATAAATATAGCAAGTAGTTTTTGTTTCGTGAACGTGATTTGTGTGGGGTCAATGTACTTGCCGAAACTCGCTTGGCAGAATAATCTTAGCCAAAGCGAAGAACCGGCTTGACATGCCGCGAATCCTCTGGAAAGAGAGGGGTAGGGTTTCTCTCGCTTTCTCTTTTCCTCCCAAAGTTCTATCCTTATAAGCTTTATACACAAGGCAAGAGCCTTCATGTATTCTTTTCTTCGGATGATAACGGTATGACCAAAAGGGCGAGACCCAAGAGTATTTATGTCTAGGACCGGGTGGAAGGAGCCATCTCCATACTCTCTAGTGGCACGAACTGACCTAAAAAATCTATAGAAGGCATGAAGTTCACGTTCTCGCAATCTGCGGTCAATGTCGGTTGAACTTCGGCAGAGACCTTAACAATAGAACCTCAGAATGGAAACTTTAAACATTGATGGTATGTGGAGGATCTGGCCTCACGCAACCAAGGCTTTCCAAGTAGTAAGTTCAATGAAGTGAGGATATCTATGACATGGAAGGTGGACCAAAAGGTTTGGCGTTTTTCAGGCCTATTTGGACATCGACAATCAGCCTGCCTCTTGCTGGCCTTATAGAATTCTCATAAGTGATTATGTACACGGGAGAAGGAGCCAGTGAGTCCTCATAAATGTCAAGGGCACGCAGCGTGGATAGGGGGAGGACCCTTATGTTTTTGTGAAAAAAGATCGGCTCCTGTTATTGCTTAAAAAAACCTAATACCTCTATTTTATGTCGATTCATCCATACTTCCATTTTTGAGGGAGGCTGACTGCTTGCCGGCTAGTAGCTGTATGAGCGGTAACGTCCACGTACGGCTCCGTGAGAAGGGAGGTGGGCAGAAATGGCCTTGTTGTACCTCACTCTCGTCTTCAATGGGGTCTACTCTTTTTTTTGGGAGAGTATGCCAATATGATCTTAATGAGGTGCAGGGCTTTGCATCTGACATTCGTTGGGCTTCCCTCTTCGGGAGCCTGCGTCCCGGCGTTTTTGTGCAATAAACCCCTCCGGCCGAAGACTAGTGGTAGGTGGTCATGCGGAGCTTTCGGAGAAGGGTAGCCTAGTGTGTAAGCACAGCAATGAACCGCGGAGAACCCTCATACGACCTATCTAAGATTAGGGGGGAGATCCTCAATAGTGGTGACCCTTTAACTCTTCCACGGACTGATACATGTACCGAATGCTCATACGGGAAAGTCGACTCTCGAGTCTGGAACAAAGTCTCCGATAAATCCTTTCTTTCTCGTCCACTCGGGGGGGTGCGGACACACTTGCGCGGATTACAGGTGACAGTTACAAGAATGGCGGGGAAGTTAACAGTACCCGACGACATTTAGGGATGGATGTAGACCCATCGGGCGGGGATAATCATTCCGGTCCTGGTAGAGGTGGCGACCATTCTCAAGAACTGAGCTGAGGGAAGCCTTATGAGTCACTGAAACGACGGCAGGGAGGCCTTGATCTATCAATAGAGGGAGCAAAAAACGGGCTTTGCTCCCCTTTACAATATGAAGAAATAAATAAGGGTCGAAGTTTACACCGCTTACAGTAGTTCTACCTATAGAAAAGATCATTAAAGAGGCGATCAGAATGGTACTCGAATCCATTTATGATCCCGAGTTTCCAGACACATCGCACTTCCTCTCGGGTCGAGGCCGCTACTCGGCCCTAAGACGGATCAAAGAAGATTGGGGAACCTCTTGCTGGTTTTTTGAATTCGACATCAGGAAGTGTTTTCTCACCATCGACCGACATCGACTTATCCCAATCTTTAAGGAAGAGATCGACGATCCCAAGTTCTTTTACTCCATTCATAAAGTCTTTTCCGTCGGACGACTCATAGGAGGTGAGAAGGGCCCTTACTCCGTCCCACACAGTGTACTACTATCGGCCCTACAAGGCAACATCTACCTACACAAGCTCAATCAGGAGATAGGAAGGATCCGACAAAAGTACGAAATTCCGAGAATAAGATCGGTTCTATTAAGGACAGGTCGTATTGATGACTAAGAAAACTCTGGAGAAGAAGCAAGCTTAAATTCTCCCTAAGACAACAGAGCCATCATTGTGGGCAGGGTCAAGAGCATTCAACGCAAAGCGGCCTTTCATTCCCTTGTTTCGTCGTGGCACCCCCCCCCCCCCCCCCCCCCCACAAGCACCCCCCGGCGAAGGGGGGACCAGAAAACGGCTTTCGTTTTCCCCCCTTCGTCGGCCCTAGCCACCTTCCTTAACAAGCCCTTGAGCCTCCTTTGCGCCGCCTTCTTCATAGAAGCTGTCGGGGCCGGGTTGACCCCGAAGACCGAATTCCATGGTAGAGAATGCTGCTTTAATAATAATTTGGCCATGAGAGACCTTATTAAGTATTGCAAAATAAAGGGCCTGCTGATAGAGCTCGGCGGGGAGGCGAGACTAGTTATCAGGTCAGAGAGAAGCCTGGCCCGTAAACTGGCCCCCTTCAAAATAAAAACCCATTATTTCATAAGGATTTGTTACGTGCGATATGCCGACGACTTACTATTGGGAATCGTGGGTGCCGTAGAGCTTTTGATAGAAATACAAAAACGTATCGCCCACTTCCTACAATCCGGCCTGAACCTTTGGGTAGGCTCTGCAGGATCAACAACAATAGCTGCACGGAGTACGGTTGAATTCCCCGGTATGTTCATTCGAGAAGTCCCTCCGAGGACGACTCCCATACAATTATTGCGAGAGCTGGAGAAGCGTCTACGGGTAAAGCACCGTATCCATATAATTGTTTGCCACCTACGCTCCGCCATCCATTCCAAGTTTAGGAACCTAGGGAATAGTATGCCGATAAAACAGCTGACGAAGGGGATGAGCGAAAGAGGGAGTCTACTGGACGGGGTTCCACTAGCGGAGACTCTTGGAACAGCTGGAGTCAAAAGTCCCCAAGTAAGCGTATTATGGGGGACCGTCCAACACATCTGGCAAGGATCGAGGGGGATCTCGTTGTTGCATAGCTCAGGTAGGAGCAACGCGCCATCGGACGTTCAAGAGGCAGTCGCATGATCGGGCATGAGTGTCCGGAAGTTGTCATTGAATAATCCCGCGGGTCGGAAGGCTGTAACACCCCAGTTTCAATTATTTGATTTATTTAATTTGGGAAATTATTTTATTAGAATTAATAAGATAAAAAGGAATTATCTATTTTGGAATATTTGAAGAAAATAAAAGAAATAAGAAAACATTGGGTTTTTAAGTTATTGGGCTTGGATGTCGTTAGTAAAGAGTGGGGGTGCAAAAGAAATAAGGATATATTTTGGAACTCAAGTTATTTTCTCATTATTCACGATAACACAGAATTTGGGAAATTTGGGAAGCTGAGCTCTGAAGGTGCGAAGAACGAAGAACATCGCTCAAAGAACTCAAGCTGCAATTTGATAAGGTAAGGGGGGCTACTACTCAATTTATATTTTCTTATGGGTTTAGATACAATTGGTTGGGTAATCGTAGGATAACCCCATTTTCTCTGATGTTCTTAGTGATCAATGACTTTAGGGTCGAATTTCGTTAGAAAAGATTAGGTTCCCTAAAGGTTGTGAATCGATTAAGAAATTAATCCCCATTGTTGATTTAGATCGAAATTGTATGATCGTGAGTTTACCTTAGGTGTTCTAGGGATAACCTCAATGTTGTTAGGATTTCCCTAAAGGACGGGTAATATGTAACTTAAGGTCAATTTTAATAAAACTTGTTGTTGATGAAAGAATTGTTGATAAAATAGGATGTTTTAAAAATGAAAATTCTGAGTTTTGATTGATTTTGGAAAATGAGACCTTAAGTGAAATAATGCTGTCCTTAAGATTGGAAATTGACTAACGTAGAAGGGAATTGTGTTTCCAATTGATGTGTTGCCTTGAGTATGCGTAATTGATGTTGTTATGTACCGAAATGCACGTTTTGGCTGGTATTTTTCGTGTTTGGCTGCTGTTCTGAGCTGCTGCAGGTACAGGAAAAATTTGGTACGCACTCATCAACACGGGCCGTGTTGATTTACACGGGCACCCGTGTTGATTCACTGCATTGGCAAAAAAATGTGTTTCCAGACACATTTCAACATGGGCCGTGTTGATTCACACGGGCACCCGTGTTGATCCCCTGTATTGGCAAAATAACGTGTTTCTGGACACATTTCCACACGGGCAGTGTTGATTCACACGGGTACCCGTGTTGAATCTCCTGTGTTGGTTTCTGAATTTTGTTTTATGTGCATGCTGTTATGTACGGGATTGATCCTGTTTTGATGTGCAGTGTTTGATATGTTTTGAATATGTTGTTTATTGATTTCCTAGTGTTGATTGATGCTTGTATCGAATAACGATTGTATGTTATGATACCAACACTATGTGGATTTTATTGCCATGCTTTTAGATAATGTTATCAAGCATGAATTATGATATAACTTGATATGATTGGTTGATGTTTACTAGTATGCTGAGTGATTACATGCTATTCACATCGTATTGTATTTGATATTGTCGATGTTACATGATATGGTTTATTGATGTTAATAGTATGCTGAGTGTTACATACTGTACATATCATGTTGCATTTGTTAATTCCCATTGTGTGGAATTAACATGGTGGCCAATATACGTGTCCGCGATTTAATGGAACGTTGAGGTGGTAGCCGTGTCCGCGATATAATGGAACGGTGAGTTATCCGTGACCCGAGATTTAATGGGCGGTAAAATGGTACCACATGCATGGGTGTGTTGCATTATAGGGAATATAACATGAATGGATGATTTTCCAATGTTGTATTTAATTGACTGTATGTATGTATTGCTGCTAAATTGTTAATAATGTTTGATGTTAATTATAATTATGAAAAGTAATATATATTGAATATATGAATGGTAAAGGTTTTCGTAAACTATGAAACATGCTAACTGTTTGGGTGATGCTTATGGTTTTTCTGAATTGATTGTTGTGAACGTATAATCAAATGTATAGTTGAGATGCTCACCCTTACTGTTGAATATTTCAGATTGAGGAGCTTCGTTCAGGTGCTTGGCGAAGGCTTGTTGTTTCTAGTTTATTTCCGTTTAAGTATTGTCCGGGTCATGCTCTGATAGTTGTAACTCCGGGAACGTTTGTTTGTCGAGCTGCTTTAGTCAGACTCGTTTATTTCCTTATGTTTGTTATAATATGATGTTGATATTTTCTAGGTGTTAATCCCTGATGATTTTGAAAATATTATAACATTGGTTTTGTTAATTAAATTATTCCGCTGTGTAAACATGTATGAGTTGCTTCTATGTTATGCATGACAGGAACTTGTTTTTGTAAAAAGAGAATTGTGACATCCTCGTTAATACATGTACTCTGAAAGTATGATTTTAATTATTTGCGAAATATTATGCGGGGTTTTAGAGGGTGTTACAATAGTGGTATCAGAGCATAGTCGGTCGTTGCGACCAGAGTCGTGAGTCAGTCATTCCTTTTGTATGCGACTAGTGTAAGGCAACACTGTCGATACTGTATTCTGATGTGGAGTATGTTTTAATTCTCAGGAATATGGCTGGAAGAGGTAACGGACGAAATGATGCTGCACTCGCTGAGGCTTTGGGGATGTTAGCTGGTGTACTTGCTGGAAATCCAAATGGAGGCGTGATTGGTGCTGATAGGCAATTGGGGAACTTCCAAAGGAACAATCCTCCGTTGTCAAAGGTACACATGACCCTGAAGGTTCTCAGAAGTGGCTGAAGGAAATCGAAAGGATTTTCCGCGTGATTGATTGTGCGGAAGATCTGAAAGTCAGATATGGTACGCATATGTTGGCAGAAAACGCCGACGACTGGTGGGTTGCAACAAGGACTGAAATGGTTCAGGATGGAGAGGCACTGACTTGGGCTAACTTCAGAAGGGCTTTTCTGAGGAGGTACTTTCCTTAAGATGTTCGGGGAAGAAAGGAAATTGAATTTTTAGAGCTTAAGCAGGGCAATCTGACTGTTAGTGAGTATGCTACTAAGTTCACTAAATTGGCAAAGTATTATGCGCACTACAACAATGATGAGGCTGGAGAATTCTCTAAGTGTATCAAATTTGAGAATGGTCTCCGAGATGAGATTAAGCAGGGAATCAGGTACCAGCGTATTCGTAGATTTTCTGATCTGGTGGATTGTAGCGGGATCTTGGAAGAAGATATTACCAGGACTAGGTCGTCTCACTCTCGTGGGGCTGTTGATAAAAGAGGAAAGCAACATATGGACCGTGGCAAGCCATATGGTAGAGGTAACCAGAAATCAGGTGGATGGAAAAGGCCTAGTGGGGGAGATTCTAAATCTCCTATCAGATGCTACAGGTGTGGTGAGTTTGGTCATCATATTCGAGATTGCAAAAGTGATGAGAAGAAGTGCTATAAGTGTGGAAAGACTGGTCATTTGTCTATTGATTGCAAAGGGAAGTCTGTTAGTTGTTACAATTGTGGTGAAGAAGGTCACATTCGTCCGCAGTGTCCTAAACCCAAGAAGGATCAGTCAGGTGGAAAGGTGTTCGCTTTGTCTGGATCTGAGACTACTCCAGAGGATCGATTGATTAAAGGTACGTGTTTTATTCATGGCACACCTTTAGTTGCAATTATTGATACTGGTGCAACTCATTCTTTCATTTCTTTGGATTGTACTGAGAGGTTGAAACTGGACACATCTGTTATGCGAGGTAGCATGGTTATTGATACTCCTGCATCGGGTTCAGTGACAACTTCACTTGTATGTAGGAATTGTCCTATTGAGATTTTTGGTAGAGGTTTCGGTATGGATTTAGTGTGCCTACTGCTTGAACAAATTGATATTATCCTTGGGATGAACTGGTTGGAAGTCAACCGGGTTCATCTGAACTGTTTTGCTAAGACGATGATTTTCCCAGAGGCAGTTGGTGTAGAGAATTTGACTATGACTGCTAGGCAGGTACAAGAAGCAATGGAAGACGGTGCTAATGTGTTTATGTTATTTGCTTCGTTAGATGCAACAGGAAAGGTCAGGAGTGGTGAATTGCCAGTGGTGTGTGATTTTCCAGAAGTCTTTCCTGATGATGTTGGTGAGTTACCTCCTGAGAGAGAAGTGGAATTTTCTATAGATTTGATTCCTGGTACGCGATCGGTGTCGATGGCACCATATCGTATGCCTGCATCTGAGTTGGCAGAATTGAAGAGTCAGTTGGAAGATTTACTGGAGAAGAAGTTTATTCGTCCAAGTGTTTCGCCTTGGGGTGCTCCGGTATTGTTGGTTAAGAAGAAAGAAGGTTCTATGAGATTGTGTGTTGATTACAGGCAATTGAACAAGGTAACCATTAAAAATCGGTATCCTTTACCGAGGATTGATGATTTAATGGATCAGCTAATTGGAGCCAGTGTATTCAGTAAGATTGACTTGAGATCTGGATATCACCAGATTCGTGTGAAAGCGGAAGATATTCAAAAGACTGCTTTTCGAACGAGGTATGGGCATTATGAATATTCTGTTATGCCGTTCGGAGTTACTAATGCACCTGGTGTTTTCATGGAGTACATGAACAGGATTTTTCATCCGTATCTGGATAAGTTTATTGTGGTTTTTATCGATGACATTCTGATTTATTCCAAGAATGACGAAGAGCATGCGGAACATCTCAGAATTGTGTTAGAGTTGTTGAAAGATAAGAAGTTGTATGCAAAGTTGTCCAAATGTGAGTTCTGGCTGAATGAAGTTAGTTTTCTTGGACATGTGATTTCTAAGAATGGTATTGCAGTGGATCCTACAAAAGTAGAAGCAGTATCCCAGTGGGAAGCGCCGAAGACGGTTTCTGAAATCAGAAGTTTTCTTGGTCTTGCAGGTTATTACAGAAAGTTTATCGAAGGATTCTCAAAGTTAGCATTGCCGTTGACGAAGTTGACTCGTAAAGGACAAGCGTTTATTTGGGATTCTGATTGTGAGAAAGGTTTCCAAGAATTGAAGCGGAGATTGACTAGTGCTCCTATTCTGATTTTGCCGAATCCGGTGGAATCTTTTGTGGTTTATTGTGATGCA